ACGCCCCCTTCAACTCGCACGAGCAGGCAATATGCAGCAAGCAGCATGCAGCATGCAGCAAGTTCAATGCACTTGACTCTGATAAATGTTCAGTCAGCGGCCCCAAAAGAAGTCTTCAACTTCAACACTTTCTTCTCTGCAGAGCTCCAGCTCCATTCTCAGCCTCATCTGAAGCGCTAGCTCCAGTTCCTTTGGCTAGAACCGATTCTGTTTCTGTTTCTGATGCTGTTCTGGTGCTGTTCTGGTGCTCTTCTGGTGCTCTTCTGATGCTGTAGGTGGGCATGACAAGACAAACATCTTGGGCACCGCCACCAGGCAGACAGACACCTAAAAGGAGGCGCACTTTTGCCCACGAAATATCTAGCGAAACGAAAAACTAGTTTCGAAGCTTCTCCTCTCTGCGGCAACTACTTTATATGATAACCAAGCTGTGCAAGCAGAAGGAGGAGGAGGAGGAGCAGGAGAGCACTGCTGTGTAGTCCTAAGGGTTCCCACTCAGCCTAGGATCCGGATGGGATGGTATGGGATGGGATCCGATGCGATGCGATGCGATGGGATGTTGCTTGTAAAGTTTGCTGAATAGCTTTGACTTTGAAGCAGCGCCAGCTGCAGGCGGCAGGCAGCAGGCAGCCGAACACGTCATTGACCTCCGCGAGAGGGGAGTTCTGTTCTGTTCTGTTCTGTGCACTGAGCAAAAATCCAGGGTCCCCGAAGCCAGCGAAAGCCGAAAAGGCAATCAACTTGAAATTAATTACAGAAATCCGCATAAATTAATGCGCAACACCCAAATAAACCAAATGTCAACTGAGAGGGGTAAAGGGGTAAAGGGTACCCCCTCCCCCCGCCAGAGTAATACAGAACCAAGAACATCCCCAGGTCCAGTGCCGAAGTGCACGAAATTGGCGGAGAAAATCGAGCACCGAACTCATTTCCAGGCGGACAACCGGTTTGGGGTTCGAGCCGGCTTCGTTCCAGTGGAGCTGGAGCCAGGCATTGTTCGAGAGTCAGGCAAACTCCAATTCAAAGTGGGGCTGCCCGGCCGGGCTGGGGCTCTGTGGCTAACCACAGGCATCCTCCTGCTCCCTTTTGGCCAAACGAGCTAAATTTATAAGATGATGTGACCAAGTCCAAGACCAAGACCAAGACCAAGTCTTGACTCGTGTGCTCGCCGGTGTGCTTGTGCGCTGGAGGAATACATAAATTGATGCTGAAGCCTCACGTTGGGGCCTGCAACTTGAGAAGTCGAGGCATCAGCGGAATCGGAGAATGTGCCAGAACAACAAAGACCGCTGCTGCACAATGGGCAGAGGAAGTGCCAAAAGCTGAAGCCCCCGTAGCTCTAGCGCATAACAAAAGAAACGGAATTTTGGCACTTAAAAGTTCGCCAAGACCGCAATCGGCAGCTAATGCAGAGGAAGTGCTCCCATTTAACCCTAATGACATTGAGCACAGGTTTCCCTATGCCTTCCCGAAGCTACGAGTATCTTTGGCTAAATAAAGAAACCCAAATGATTCAGGGACGGGCTCTGACGCACACTTTAAGCCATATTTGCGCTCAAAATGGGTATCTTTTGTCCCACATAAATTACTGTATTTGCACAAGTGTGTGTAAATATTTGCTTTTAATTGAAGCAAATACCGAGTACCGAATACCGAAGGCGGAATTTCTCTGTCTACAAAGTTCGAGACCTTAAGAAAACTATCCCAGCAAGACTAAAGCAGACTCTCGTCTCGCACACGGCATGTATTTTGTTTTTGCACTCTCGGTCACTCTACCTCTCTTCAGTTTTCGCTTGTGTGTGAAGTCTCCGACGAATAAACCTTGTAGCCTTGAGAGCAAAGGCCTTAAAAGGTGGCATTTTTCCTCTATTTTTTACTCACTTTTTGCTCAACTCTGGCCCATAGTGCAGCATCTCTGCATTGCCCGTTTCCGTTATCATTTGGGCTCTTCTCTGTTTTTCTTTTTCTGGCTTTTTGTCAACAAATTCTGTTGTGGATCTTTGGATATTCGATACCTTTTGAGTGGGAGTTGGCTGGTAATGGGAGACTGTACTGTACTGTACTGTACGGTACTGTACTGTACTGTACTGGAACTGTCTGTGACTCTCAAACGCCGGATAACTTTTCTGTGGTTTTGTGTTTCCAAAAAACTCAAAAATTCTTTAGTTCAGGAAAATAAACAAAGAAGCAAATAAAAAATGCTGCTGAAGCTAATGAGGCCATAAATGTATAAGATTTGACAAAGCCGCAGCCGAAAAAACGCGAAGCAAATCCAAGCCGTGACTGCAGCACAGTGCAGCAGTGCCGCAGCTAGTTGCGACTCTAATTGCTGCCACAGAATGAGATTACGACTAGAAACAGCAACAACAAAGCAGACACAGCAGCAGCTCGAGCAACAGATGGTCAGTGATCGGAGGCGACCCACTTCCATGCCATGGGGGCTTGGGGTGGCTGCCGTCCAGTCCAGTCCCCAGTCCAGTCCATCGGAGAAGGCTATTTACTTTTTGCTGGCACTGTTTATACTTACCTGCTAAGCGTCGTCTTTCCGCTCTCCCCTCTCTACCCCTCTCCTGTCTGTCTGAGCGTTGCTTTCAATCAACGGGCAAACAAATGCAACAACAGAACAGTCCCAGCAAAAAGTACACACACCAGCAACTACAACTACATCCACTACTGTTTGACAATTTATCAATGATTTCTTTTGTTGCTGCTGCTGCTGCTGCTGCTGCTATTGTTGTTGTTGTTGCCAAGAGTCGCCTTGGGGTCTTCTTATTGGAACAGGAAGTCGCTTATTTGCTGGCAAGTGCACATCACACATCGCACATCGCATTGACATTTACTTTGGATTCTATTCCATCCGCGGAGAGCTTGACACTCGTCTGCTGCGGGCCAGTGGCTGTCAAACTGCGGCATTGAGGAAGGAAGCGCTTCTATAGCCCGTAAATTAGAGCATACTCCCCCAAAAGAGCACTACAGTGGCTCTCAAACTGTAGCAACATATTGAACTTTATGCAAAAAGCCATGAATGGTCCTTCGAGAGGCATTTTGGGGGTCCATTGGCCATGTTGCATGCCCGATGCAGTTGCAATTTCTCCATGATTTATGGACAATATCCTTCCAACGCAACACCCACAGCCCAATACAAATTCCGCATCGCATGCCCCCGCACTTTGTTGCAGGCAGAACAGAACACAATTTATGGCCCCGAAAAAGTGAGCAAAATGAGTAAAACTTTTGGAAAAGTGATTTAAACCCAAAAAGAGGGCAAAAGTTCTAAATTACTTTTGCAACAGCTTCCACGGAGGGGCGGGGTCGGGTTTTTGGTGTGCCCAGAGATGGGGACTGCCCCCCGCCCCCCCTTTGGATGCCCTTCCCAGTATCCCCAAAACGTGGACGTTTTTTTATGGGCTGTCTTACGGATTGGAAAATCGGAATCAGAACTCATAAAAATGCAATTTGCGCAAACAACTTGACTTTGAACCACAACCTCCTCCCCCGCCGGGCTCCCAAGGAGGGGTAGGGCAGGGCAGGGCAACCCCCGAGAGCCGGAGGTTGGACCACTCCCTCGACGCTTGACAGCCTGGCGGCAGGCGGGCCCATGGGGGTCTAGGGCAGCGACGTGTCTGCAATTTGCATGTGCATGACTGAGGCTCAGACTGAGACTGGGACTCCGACTCCGACTGGGACTGAGACTGAGACTCGGATGGGTGTGATTTCGGAAGGGAAAAGGAAAAGGGATGGTGTACACGGGGTGGCAGAGAGGGTGGCGCCATAAAAACCATTTGGCGCAAAGCAGTTAACGTGTTTTGTTGCCTCTGAAGGAGAGGGTGAGTGGTGTGTGGCATGTGCGAGGGGAGTGGGGCTTTACTGCCACTTTTGGGGCGTGTTAGTTTGTGTGGTTGAAATTTATGCGACCCAGGGGTGGGTTTCCCCCACGAAGAAGAGCTGCTGCATGCGGCCGTGTACCCGTCTACTCGTATATTGTATCTGGGATACAACTATCTCAGCAAAGTCCTGGGCTACGTGACTGGCAAGGGAAACTGCATCGAGCTGGGGATAGTCTTGCAGCCTTTTGCTAGCCTCTTGTGAAACTGTTCTCAGGGCTCCACTGGCTAATGATTTTGGCAGACTGATTGATTGTAGAACCAACAAATACGCTCCTAAGAACTAAAAATTAAGGAAAGGAAGCCCTGACCCAGGGGCCTGCCCTGTCCTGGGGGGATGGGGCTTTCAATCAAAGAAAGTGACAGCCTAAGAAGTATTCCCATTCCACGGAACTGTCATGCTCTGTTTTGATGTTTTTTGTATTAACTGATGCATTAGCCAACACTGGAAATTGGGGAACCTTCGACGGGAACTCCTTTTCTCTCTAATGGCAACATTTGGCACATTATGAGACAACATGCAACTGCCTGGGGGCACTTGCTACTTAAGGGCTCACACCCACACACACATACACCCATACACACGCAGTTTGCATAATTAATGCAGCGGCAAACCCGTTATACACTTGAGCAGAGGTAGTCCCCTCTTTCTCCCTCTCTCTCTCTCTCTGTCGCTCTGCCGAAGAGAAGAAGGGAGTTTTTTGTTTAATTAAAACAAGAAATTGCCACTTAAAGGCAACGCAACGGTAAATAATGACAGTCCCCCCCCCCCCCCCCTACCCCGTAACTCCTCCCCCTTACCCCACCCCGTGCCTATCCCGTGAGAGGCAGTCGCTAGATGGCGCTCCCGTCACGCGCTCATTAGCGAGGACATTGTGAAGGATTCTGTGTACAGGGTACAGCATCCTATATACACACACATACAGTATATGCCGCTGTATATGATGTATGTTGTACTCTTTTATGAGAAGGAAGTTCGCCCACTGGCAAGCCGGAAGTCCTTTGTCCTGACTCTCGCGCACACACGACTTGAGCACGCGAATGGAGCACCTGATTCGCACATAGAAACACTCTTACCTTTGCACTCACCCTTATCCTCTGTTGTTTTTGTTGCAGGAACTCAAGGAGAGCTTCAACTACGGCCTCTTCGCCCCGCCCTCGAACGGGAAGGCGGGAAAGTTTCTGGATGAAGAGCGTCGGCTGGGCGACTATCCATTCAACGGCCCCGTCGGCTACTTGGAGGTGAGTGTGCGTGTGCGTCTCTGGATAGATCCCTCTTAAATGCTCCTCCTTTGTTTCCTTTCGCGCAGCTCAAGTACAAGCGACGCGTCTACAAAATGCTGACCCTGGACGAGCGCCAGCTGAAGGCCCTGCACACCCGGGCCAATCTGCGCCGATTCCTCGAGTGCATCAACGGGGGGCATGTGGAGAAGATAGCCAAGATGTGTGCCAAGGGACTGGACCCCAACTTCCACTGCTCGGAGAGCGGCGAAACGCCGCTGAGCGTGGCCACCGGTGCCAAGAAACCGAACAAAGTGCTCATTGCCTTGGTCAATGGCGGGGCCCTGTTGGACTACAGGACCAAGGACGGGACCACGGCCCTGCACCGGGCTGTGGAGCACGACTCCCTGGAGGCGGTCAGGTTGGGATGAGTCTCCAAAGGCCACACGATCCGCGATCCATATACTAATCATCTACCCTCCTTTCAGTACCCTCCTGGAGCTCGGGGCCTCGCCCAACTACCGCGACGGGCGTGGGATCACGCCGCTGTACATCTCGATAACCAGAAAGTGCGAATCGAAGATCACGGAGAGCCTGCTGCACGACCACGCGACGCTCGGTATCCAGGATAGCCAGGGCTGGAACGAGGTCCATCAGGTCAGTCGGTGGCGGTCCTTTGAAAACGCCAGTCCCGTAGACTCCCAGATTCGTAACTGCCAATGCTTATACCCCTCATCGAATCTCTGGTGAAGCCCCCGCCCGCAGTCCCCCAGCCGGTGTCTGTACCCCTGCCCCCAAAGTGCTGAATGCCAATTAATATTTGAATTCTCTCTCTTTACTTTCTCTCCTCTCTCTAACTCTAAAAAACAAACACAAACACAAAAACAAACGCTTTCTAACTCTTTTGTAACCCGCGGGTTGTATCTGTATCTGCATCTGTATCTGCAACTGTATCTGCATCCTTCCGCACTGTTCAATCCGCAATCTGCAATGAGACAGGCCTGTCGGCACGGCCTGGTTCAGCACTTGGAACACCTCCTGTTCTACGGTGCTGACATGGATGGCCGCAATGCGTCCGGCAATAGTCCGCTGCATGTGTGCGCCGTCAACAACCAAGAGGCTTGTGCCCGAATGCTTCTCTTTCGCGGCGCCCAGCGCGGCGCCCAGAACTTTGCCAACCAAACTCCCTATCAGGTAAAAAGTCCAACGTATATCTAGAATGGAATTATGCTGCTACTGTAGTTACGCTTGTAGTCTAGCCCTTAAGTATCTTATATTTACATTTAGTTTCAATCGGTTTTGGGTAGTGTGTCTGGTGCCTGGTCATCTAATGCCAACGTCTCTCTCGATCTCCCTCTCTCTCTCTTCCCTAGGTGGCTGTCATAGCTGGCAACTTGGAGCTGGCCGAAGTCATTGAGAACTACAAATCGGAGGATATTGGTGAGTGCATTCTCCATTGCTGCATTGCTGCATTCTCTATTCTCCATTCTCCATCCAACATCCTCCATCTTCCATCCTCCACTCCGAACACTCGACTCGTACTCGCAACAGAACTTCATGGTCATTATACTCATATACCTACTCATATTCATATATTCGAATGGAACTGAAACAGTTTCCAGTTTATATATTTTTGTATTTGTTCTCTATCTCTCTCTCTCTCTCTCTGTTTGGATTTGTTTACTCTCTACTCAATCTATTACTTATTATATTGTACAAATCGGTCGTAACCGTATAGTTTCCTTCCCTCCTTCCCCCCACCCCCTTGAGCGTTCATTCACATCATTCATCAATCATCAAGCATCAATCAGGCCTCCTTCATATCAATGTAAACTAAAGTTAAATTATATGCCTATATATTCACACATTTTCGTAACTCGTATTTCGTATTTCGTATTTTGCATTTTGCATTTGCTTGTTTGCGATACATACTCTTTGCTCTATGATTGTTACTCTTAATGTTTACCCACTGTTACTGTTACCGTTACCGTTACCGTTACTGTATCCAAATAGTATCCAATATCTGTATGTACCACATTCCACATTCCACATTCCATTCCATTCAACCGTTTTGGCTCGTTCTTGTGCGTCTCTCTCTCTCTCATATCACGTCACGTCTCGTTTCGTAGCGAAGTTTGTTTGTTCTTTGGCAGGACATTGCTAGAATGTCCTCCACCGAATGCTTTGTTTGTAAGAGTCGTGTACCTTCCAGACAGTAAGTACGAGTAAGTAATCCTCCAACGGCACGGGTCCACCGTCTTAGAAACCCCCAAAAGAATAGATTGAGTAGAGCTCCAGCATTTCTCCGATCATCGAACAGAGAGGAGGTGGTGGAGGAGCAGGAGGAGTGGGGTTTGCGACTAACACACACACACACACACACACAGAACCACTTGCACCACAGCTACATATACACACACACACACACACACACACATGTCCATATAAAGAGAAATACTATCCTTACTATCCTTACACCACAGTACCCTTCCGCGGACCGCCGCGCTACAATCCGAAGCGGCGCTCGGGCATCGGCTGGCTGAGCGCCAATGGAGCCGCCGGGGCTGCTCTGCTGGCTGCGGCTGGCGGTGGTCTTGGTGGTGCAATGATCAGTGACAGTGCCCATCCGAATGGCATCGGAAACGGAAACGGAATCGGAAACGGAATCGGAAACGGAACGGGCAGTGCCAGTGTTGGCGGTGGGGGTCTGATGATGATGATGATGCAGCATCAGAACCACCAACAGCAGCAGCAGCACAACCACAATCCTCTGCAACCACATCATCTGCACCACCAGCACCAGCACCAGCTTCAGCTGCATCAGCATCAGCTGCAGCTGCACGGCCCGCCCTCGCCGTGCCCCTCGGAGCACATGCTGGGCGCCTACAGTTCGGCCAGCTCCAGCCTCTCCGAGGGCTCCTCGGGACACCGTTCGCACGAGGACGACATCAGCATTGTCACAGGTAATCAATCGCTTCCGTCTCTTCCTTTTTGATTTGCCTTCAAGCTTATGTTTAAGTTTAATCTTAAGTTGAGTTCCCTCCGTAATCCGTACTCTCTGTACACTCTGTACATACGCAAAAGATATAATAGCTCGAACACAACGAGCGGCTAAGTATATACTCCTCCTTATACTCCTACAATACATATACATATATATTTAATGGGCATGCATTTTAAGTAGATTTTGTATACCAAAGAAAAGTACAAATTGCATGTTTTATTTATACGATTCCTCTGTGGATACTGATTGAATGTTAGCAAAGGGATGCCGTGATCCTGATTCCATTTCTGATACAATTAAGGAACACTGTTGCCATGATTCACTCGCACATCACACCGTTCGTTTCGTTTCGTTTCGTTTCCTTCGGATGAATCACACAGTTCCGCAACGCATTGTTTCTTCAACCGCTTTGCCTCCACATGCCAGAGGCTTCTGTGTCCCCCATCACCCCACACAAACAGAAACACAAACACAAAGTGCATGTCTTTCGAATGAGTGGCCCCGCACTCTGACCCAAACGCTGACTCTCATTCTGACTCTTTCTTTGCCTCCGCACAGACAAATCCCTGGGCGATACGAGCGACATCATCAGCGACTCGTCGGGCGTGGGAACCAACTCGGACTCGGCCGCCTGCTCGATTGGACACCCCAGCACCACTGTCGTGTGCATGGAGCCGTATGTCGGCAACACAGTGGGGCACATCCGGCTACAGCCCGGCGACGTCATCGAAGTGGTGGGCAGCACCGACTGCGGCCTCCTCGAGGGCTATGTGAGGGGCACCAATCAGTCGGGCTTCTTCCCCGCCGACTGCGTCCAGGAGGTGAATCTGCGCCAGAAGCACATCACCAACGTGATGACCGCCAGCACGGGCATGCCAGCCCCCAACCAGCAGGCCCCACTGCAGCACCAGCAGCAGCACCAGCAGCAGCAGAAACAGCAGCAGCACCAGCAGCAGCCCTCATCCTCGGCCTCCTACCAGGGATCGCCGCAGCTCAGCCTCGGCGGGCACTCGGGCAGCTCGAGCACCCTGCTGCAGCAGCCCCACCATTCGCCCTCGCTCTCGATGACCAGCAACGGGTCCTGCCAGCAGCCACAGCAGATGACAGAGAGTAACGGGGGAGCAGGCGGTGCCCCCATGGGCAGCCACAACAACAACAACAACTCCATTGGACAGTACAGCAGCGCCACAGCGCCGCGCATCAAGAAGAGGTACGAGGATGCAGTCTCCGAAATCAAATCCAACCTAAACTAATCCATATCTTTTGCAGCGCCTACAATGCCCCACGTTCGGTGGTGCTGCACCGCGCCAAGCGCGGCTTCGGCTTCATTTTACGGGGGGCCAAGGCCAGCTCCCAGCTGATGCAGCTGCGACCCTCGGAACGTTTTCCGGCTCTGCAGTATCTGGACGACGTGGATCCGGGCGGAGTGGCCGACATGGCCGGCCTGCGGCCGGGCGACTTCCTGCTGACCATCAACGGGGAGGACGTGAGCGCCGCCTCGCACGAGCAGGTGGTGGAGATGATCCGCTCGGCGGGAGCCCTGGTCAACATGACGGTGATATCGCCGCAGTTCCCCCACCAGATGCAGGCCACTGTCCAGTACCTGCCCAGCGGGGCCAGGGCCGGCAGCCAGCACTTGTCGAGTGGCCCGAGCACTCCGCAGACGTCGCACCGCCAGTGCGCCACATTGCCGCGCAAGATGTCTATGGGACCGGGCAGTCATGGCGGCGGCGGCGGCGGCTCCTCGGCCGGAGGGAGTGTGCGGATGGCACCCATGCCACCGCGAAGGGACCCTAAGACGACGCTGAGCGTGGGACGGGCCAGGGCCAAGTCCATGGTGGCTGGCCTCGAGAACGGCGGCGAGAAGGAGGACGATGTGCAGCACACCAAGTCCAATTCGGTGGAGTCCATTGCCACGTCCATTGCGGCGTCCGTGGCCACAAGCAACGGCAACGGCAACGGCAACAACAATCAGACAGGACCCGGCACCCCCGTCCAGCTGCGGACGGCCAGCATCAAGGCCCGGCCTACATCCAGTCGAATCACGGCCGCAGAGCTGGAGGAGCTCTTCCAGCGGCAGCAGGGCGATGGCAGTGCCGCCAATGCCAGCCGTTATGCCACCATGATGACCAGCTCCCGGTTCCAGTCGGGCACGGACAGTGGCGCGGCCACGCCTCCCGCCACGAACGGATCCCCCATGAGGAGCGGACCCCTGGTCTACGGCAGTGTGGCGGAAATGAAGCGCAAGACGGCCAGGAGCAAGCACGGAGGGATCATTGGCAGCGGCAGCGGCGGCACCCTGCGTGGCAAGCCAGTGGCCACGCCCACAGTGGGTGGGGCTGGGGGAGTAGGGGGCGCTGGAGGACGCGACTTGAAGCGATTCCACTCCACGCCCGACCTGCACGGCGCCCAGCTGCACGGCTCAGTCTCGTCCATCTGGCAGGCGGCCGGCAAGGGTCATCACTCGCAGGACGATGTGGCCACGCTGCACGCCTCGCTGCAGCGTCTCAACACCATGGAAGCCAAGGGGGCAGCCGGCCCAGTGCTTCCGCCACCCAATCATCCCCCACCGCCGCCGCCTGTCGGCCAGGTGGTCAAGGTGGAGACCCGAAGCAGCGTCTCGGAGTACGAGAGCACCATCTCCTTGCAGCAGAAGCTGAAGAAGCGGACCGAGAATGATGCCGTGACCAGTGCGGCCATCGATGGCGTCCAGAGCAGTTTCAATCCCTCGGCCAACGCCAAGATCTATGCCTCGCCCCAGGAGCTGCGCAACGTGATGGCATGGAAGCTGCGTCAGGCGCAAGAGAAGCCGCCCCAAGAGACCTCCGCGAGCTCTCAGCAGCAACAGCATCAGCCACTGCCACAGGTACAGCCACAGGCACAGCACCAGGTCAGCCAGTATGCAGCTCCCACACAGATGCGTCCGCAGCAGCAACAACAGCAGCCTCAACAGCAGCCCACTGGAGCGACCTCCCACTATGCGGCGCCTCAGGTGCAGGTGCCAGTGCAGCAACAGCAGCAGCAACAGCAGCCGGAGCCCCAGTCCCCGCCTGCACCACCGCCACCACAGTCTCAGTTGCAGTCCCAGCCGGCGCCAGCTGCAGCTCAGCAAGCAGCACAGAATGGAAATGGGAGTGGTGGTGGTGGTGGTGGAGGTGGAGCCCCGCCCATCCCCGAGCCGGACTACAGCTGCAGCGAGTCGGATGGGGAGGACGAGAACTCGATTCTTGTGGCGCGCAACACGAAGCTCAACGAGAAGATAGCCCTGTTCGATGTGCCCGAGACCAGCGGCAACAGTCAGGCCAGGTAAGCGAAGTCGAACCCAAATCAGCGGCGAATCTCAAGAGAATACATTAAAGCCGGATATCAAGTAAAGAGGTACGACTAGGGAATAGGAAAGCGAAGCCTAGACAGCTTAGACACTATTGAGTGACCCCCGACCCTTCAGTTTGTTTATCGGTTGTCGCATATCGGATATAGTACTCCTTGAACCCACCCGAAATGGGCGTGTGAATGATTTGAGTTCTCCATCGAGTAATTTTTTATAGAAAGTCCTCGTCTCTAATAGACTTGGCAATGTCTTAACTACCTAATGGATTCCTGATTATATCCGGTGTTTGCATAAGTCTCTCTTTGGACTTTGGACTAGCATTTGGACCAAAGCCACGCCCTTAGACTCCTCCTTCACATACGAGAACGTACATATCTAGGAGCTACCTTATCATCGTGCGCAGATGTGTAGATGAGGATGAGTACAAGAACACACAGATATATCTTTAGATGTCGATATGTCAAACCTAAGTTAAGTCCTCTTTAGGCTGAATCTTTTCTAGAATTTCCCCGTCACTAATTGAATTGGCAACACATTCCATAGGAGTGCCAACTCATAGATTCCCGATCGTGTCCGGTGCTTGCATCCATTCGAATCGAAAATTAACGTTTTACTCAAATATGCATGGCTAATAGTGTGTTGGAATGAGTCTAGAACGACTATGAAACCATCTGTAAAAGTCGTATTAGGTGCTGGTCACGGGTCATTCAAAAACTGAAGATCAACATCAAGATGACGCTGAAGCTGAAGATGCTTCTACTGCTCAATGTGGCCCACCTCAATGGAAGGTAATCCATCCATTCCTCAAGCAATTAAATTTCGTTTAACGATTGATCTTTGCTGAAAAGTGCAAACACCGGACCTAATCGGGAATCTAAAGGTTTAAAAGGCGTTGGCAATTCGTTTAGGAATAGAAATATTCTATAAAAGGCCGGCACTAATCAATATTCTTTTGGATTGGGCAGAAAATAGCCTTACACCGACAATCCTTTCAGGAGAAAGGTTATTTATCTTTGGGATATAATACCTATGTAGAAATGGTATCCTTTGAAAAATAAACCCGAAGCTGAATTATTAAAGTCGCTTTTTAGGGCAGGGTTCACACAGGTATTTCTAAATAGTCTTTTGGTTCCGCTAAGAAGAATCTTGAGGATTCCTGATTTTTCTGGGGGGATTGTCTTCCCTTATCTGCGGCTGGAAGTCGCACGAGTTTTAATTACAGACCCGTCGACCTCACCCACCATATTCTCACCCTATACCTGCCACGTATGATGGTATCTGGGACCTGGGCGGAGACTTGTTTTTTGGGTGCCTCTAAACTGAACTGCAGATTTGCTAATTTTCCCTTTGTCTCCCCCACAGTGGCAGCAGCTCGAACTCCGGCAGTGCGTCCATCTCACATTCGCTGTCGGTGGAGGAAATCCAACGCATACGCAGTAATCTTAAGACCTCCAAGTCCTCGCCCAATGGCTTCGCGAAGAAGTCTGACGAGGAGCAACAGCAGCAGCAGCAACAACCACAGCCATCTCCAGGTCCAGGTCCAGGGCCAGGCGAAGATGAGTGCGACACTAGCAGTTCTGGTGTAAGCAGCGATCAAGACGGTCTGATGGCCACAGGAGGAGGAGGAGGAGCTGCAGCAGCAGCGGCAGTCCCCAAGCCCACCGACACTATCAAGAAGAAGCCAACAGTGACCATTGTGGAGGAGCCGAAGACTATACCCGATCAGCCCATGGCATCCACCAAGCCCATGGCCAAGACAACAATCAGCATTGGAGCAGCAAGTGGAGGAGCCACCACCACGCTGACTGTCAAGCAGTTGGTGCAACAGCAGCACGCTCCCGTTATACAGCAGCATCAGCAGCAGCTTATCACCAAGCCGACAGCCAATGTGGCTACAATGGCCAGCAACATCAACATGAAATCTCTCGGCGGCAACAATGCCACATCCGTGATGAGTCCACAGGTTCTGGGGCGCATACCCAACGTGCATCATCATCAGCAGCAACAGCAGCAGCAGCAGCTGCAACAGCAGGCGAATCCCAACCAGAAATTGATAGCCACGCAGCAGCAGATCCTGCAGCAACAGCAACAGCAGCTGGCCCACCAGCAACATCTGCAGCAGATCCTCAAGGCGAAGGCAGCCGCCGCCGGAGGAGCCAGCAACACGGCCGCCCTGGTGGCCAAGCATCAGCAGCAGTTGCACAAGGGAAACAGCGGCCACGAGTCGGAGATGGAGCAGCGCTCCGACCTGGAGGATGACGACGGAGACCTGAGCCCCTCGCCGCCTGCCAAGGCCTTCCAGCGGCACAACTCGCTCACACGCAAGCAGGCGGCGGCCATTGCCATGCAGCGGGGCGTGACCCGCACCTCGGCCGTCTCGCTAATGCAGTTGCCGCCGCCGCTGGAGGCCGACAGCGATGGTGAGGTTCCGCAGCACACATTGCAACGCCAGCATCCCCATCCCCACCCACACCAGCTCCAGCAGATCCAACACCAGCAACAGCAGCAGCAGCAGCAGATGGCCACGCATATTGTGGGCGTCTTGCCCAGCGGACAGTTGGTGGCTGTTGCCTCTGCTGCTGTTGCTGGTGGTCCGGGCGGGGCGACTGTAGCGCAGCCTGGCAACAACAATATGCAGCTGTGCACCGAGAACTTGGTCCTGGCGCCGCCGCCGCAGTTCTGCGATTGTAACGATGCCAAGCACGCGCCGCAGTCGCAGCCGCATCTGCCAGGCGGCCAGTATCATCCTCAGCAGCATCAACAGCAGCAGATTCAACAGCAACAGATTCAACAGCAGCAGATTCAACAGCAACAGATTCAACACCAACAACTCCAACAGCAACAACTCCAACAGCAACAACAGCTTCAACAGCAGCAACAACAACAGATGCTGCACCACCATCAGCGTCTGTCAGGCGGGGCTGGCGCTGGAGCCGTTGGCACTTTGGGACGAGTTCGCATCGTTGGCACCATGCCCAAGGCCAATCACCATCGGCTGCACTAGGCTGAGCTGGAAGAGCTGCACGAGCTGCGGGAATCAAATCTAACATTTGCCAAATCGTTAAGTCGTTAATTAGAGTTAGTCAACAGTCATTGCCATTCACAACGAATAGCTGCGGCTGCCTGCACCCGAGGAAAGACGCCACAAGTAGAGCATTAAGCAACACGAAGGCATAGAATACATAGCAGGCATAGCAATGGGTCCATTTCAGACACAAATCAAATCGTTGCTACTTCTGTATATTCACAGCAAATACACAACATTCAAGTTCAATGCGCTAAACCCACAAGAAAGTAATTATAAATGCAAATATTGCAAGTAGAGACGGATGTTAGGTGCGTGCATGTGTGTCGTGTCCGATTTGTCGAGGCAGTGCCCATACCAGAGGGAAGCTAAACGAAACACAATCTTAAATTACTTTTATTATATTTATTGAGTGTGATATAAATTTATGTAGGCTGACCGAGAGCAGCAACTAAACAAAAATATTTCTAATCCGACAGAAAGTGTGCGCGTTTGTATGCAATATTGTATTATGTTAGTCACCAAAACCACACCCAAATGCCTGTTCCAACCATTGAAAACAAACTGAATCGAACTGAATGTATTCGTTTCTTTAGTTTGCTTTCGATCTGCACAGTGTCGATGAAATGCCCCAATAGAAGTAGCCACGTATATATGTATGCATAGCCGATTTAGTTCGTAATGTTGAGGGGGCCGCCAGGGCAGGTTCATTTCTTCAGTATCCATCCATTGATCATTCGAGTTCGTGTTCGTGTTCGTATTCGTATTCGTATTCGTGTTCGTGTTCGACTAGTGCACAAACTATTTAAGCGACATTAACATTATTAATCCAATACACAACTAGCGTAGGTTTTATATGCCTAAAGAACGGGAGAATGCGATAGACGTTGCACCGCGTAACAATAAGATTTGTATTTGAGCATTTAGCCGAATTTCCAGTCAAATCAAGTCAACTAAATTAAATACTAAACCGATACTAAAACTTGTAATGTTTTTAAACATGAATATAACACGATATACCATAGCCTCGGAAATTTTATAACATAAAAAGAAGAAGAAAAAACAAAAACAATTTGGAAATCCAAAACGAAAACAAAACGTAAATTTTTGCTAGTAAAATTTACAGATTTTTACTTTAATAGATTTTTTGTACAATTGTTTTTTAGAGAAACCCTTAATCTTGCCGAAGGAGGAAAGTCGCGTATTATTGAAATATTGAAAGAGGTTCTCACATATTTGCCAGCGCTTAACGCAAATATCGTCATAGGCAACCCAAACTTACAGAATGCGTTTTCACGAGTAACAATTATTATATAACTAAGGCTGATCTTATTGCATAATTCATACTAAAACACAACCACAGATAAAGATACAGATACGATACAAGCACTGAAGCAGAAACAGAAACAGAATTCACAGAATCACACATTCATAGATGAGACAATTGAATAATAACGAAGAACTCCAATCACCAAACAAGCGATTGATGCATTTACACTGTTTAAACGAGGCTGCAGGCTCTTTGAGATATGAAAGAATTGAGTGGTAATACGAGTATAGTGAAATCTTTCCAATTGGCAGGCCGCACCTTTTCCCTAGAATCTAAGTGTTGAAAAGTTAGTACCCATAAAGCTAAACCATAAACATAATATAACATACAAGTAATTATCGGCAGATCTAGCATCTAACTAGATTTTATCACACTTTTTAGTTCTCGCAATAGTTGCTAATTATTTGTAAATTGTTTTAGTTCAAGCCCACGCCACACATACACCCCCTTACATACGAGTATATACAGAAAAATGTATGATTAGCCGTCAAGCTTGCTAGTTACTAAGTTAAACTACCTGGGATATCCATGTGGATTGCTCAGTTAAGTCCTACACACGTCTACGAGTAGATACATACATTCTTAAACCTATATTATGCGCATTATATGTAAACCGATTACGTTCAGCTGTTCAGCGTTCAATTGCGAATGCCGGAAGCTATACGAGTATAAACGAATATTAAATATGCATACACCACAATGATAATGTTAAACGATTAAAGCACACTCACTTACACACACCCACATACACTTTAAAAGCATATATTTAAAATTATGGCAAATATCTATCATAAGTCATCAAATATGCAATTATGTATTATGAACATGCGTATGAAGAATCAATAAATATGAATGAAAACTATTTCAACTGTTTGCTGAGCAGAAATTCCATCTTAAATTCGAACTTAAATATAATTAAAATGCTGGTATCTTTCTGTACGGCTATATGTTGGCAATATAACGAAAGATCTTATCAATCGATTGGCATCAGAAAAAAGATATCTATCTTTTTACGATTTTCGCAAAAAACAACCAAAAGTTGCATCATTAAAAAAAATGGAGAACGTTTTATTTTTATAATTCATGCCATACTTTGGGGTTTCTGCCATATAGGGCATATATATTTTCACGAATCTCAGAAACAATCATTATTAAATTTTCCAAAAATCGACCTCATTTTCGTAGTTGACATTCTGGAGTCTGGATTCTCCTGATCCTGTGAGAGTAGGTACTTTTATTGGATGTGCTAGTAATTAAAATGATCTAGCATTCAATTAAATAGGGCTAATAAGGGGTCAATAAGCAAATCGTCGAGCATTGTTCTCCAATTCCAGAATAAGTCGATAGCCAAAACATGAGTGATACTGACTATAAATACTATTGTATCTATCTCCATTTTCATGCGTTTGTCATTGTTGATACTTGACACAGCACAACATATTCATATTCATATGCTTGCTTACTTCAGTTACAATAGTTTTTCATCTTATCAAGGAGCAAACATTGTAGCTACGCGTAATTCGAAGAATGTCTGTTGCGAACCAGAGCCCGAAACTGTTAGGCATTAAGGTCGTGTGAGAGACCCAATAGAGATGACTACTCGCAATAGTATTATTGGAATCACTGATATTCAAAAACTGAAGATCAACATCAAGATGACGCTGAAGATGCTGTTCATTGTGGCCCACCTCAATGGAAGGTATTCCTTCCATTCCTCAGGCAATTACATTTCGTTTTGCCAATCATTTAGTTCTTGTTTGCTTTACATTGGGTTCTTTAATATTCTGGGGTCACAATAACGATTGACCTTTGCTGACAAGTGCAAACACCGGACCTAATCGGGAATCTAAAGGTTTAAAGGCGTTGCCAATTCGTTTAGGGAAGGGGATAGAAATATTCTATAAAAGGCACAGAGCGATGGGGACCCAACTCATTTCAAAACTGAAGATGAAGCTCAAGATTATTTTGCTCTGCATTGTGGCCGGCACTAATCAATATTCTTTTGGATTGGGCAGAAAATAGCCTTAAACCGACACTCCTTTCAGGAGAAAGGTTATTTATCTTTGGGATATAATACCTATGTAGAAATGGTATCCTTTGAAAAATAAACCCGAAGCTGAATTATTAAAGTCGCTTTATTAGGGCAGGGTTCACACAGGTATTTCTAAATAGTCTTTTGGTTCCGCTAAGAAGAATCTTGAGGATTCCTGATTTTTCTGGGGGGGGATTGTCTTCCCTTATCTGCGGCTGGAAGTCGCACGAGTTGTAATTACAGACCCGTCGACCCTGACCAGTCGCCGGCCTATATCATATTCTCACCTTATACCTGTCACATATGATGGTATCTGGGACCTTGGGCGGAGAGATGTTTTTTGGGTGCCGTTGCTGCATCAGCAACAGCAGCTAGCCCACCAGCAACATCTGCAGCAGATACTCAAGGCGAAGGCAGCCGCCGCCGTGGATATCAACATCAAGATGAAGCTGAAGATGCTCCTGCTGTTCATTGTGGCCCACCTCAATGGAAGGTATTCCTTCGATTCCTCAGGCAATTAAATTTCGTTTACCCAATCCTTTAGTTCTTGTGTGATTTCCATTGGGTTCTTTAGTGTTCTCGGGTCACAATAACGAATGACCTTTGCTAAAAAGTGCAAACACCGGACCTAATCGGGAATCCAAAAGATTAAAAGGCGTTGCCAATTCGGTTAGGGATCGGAATAGAAAAATTCCATAAAGAGCAGAGAGAGATGGGGACCCAACTCATTTCATAACTGAAGATGAAGCTCAAGATTATTTTGCTCTGCATTGTGGCCGGCCTCACTGGAGAATTTTCCTTTGGAATGGGCAGAAAATAGACTTAAGCCGAGTATCCTTTCAGGAAAAAGGTTATTTATCTTTCGAAGCTAAATAATTAAAGTCGCTTTTCAGGGCAGGGTTCACACAGGTTTTTCTAAATAGTCTTTTGGTTCAGCAAAGGAGGAATCTTGAGGATTCCTGATTTTTCTAGGGGGGATTGTCTTCCCTTATCTGCGGCTGGAAGTCGCACGAGTTGTAATTACAGACCCGTCGACCTCACCCACCATATTCTCACCCTATACCTGCCACGTATGATGGTATCTGGGACCTGGGCGGAGACTTGTTTTTTGGGTGCCTCTAAACTGAACTGCAGATTTGCTAATTTTCCCTTTGTCTCCCCCACAGTGGCAGCAGCTCGAACTCCGGCAGTGCGTCCATCTCACATTCGCTGTCGGTGGAGGAAATCCAACGCATACGCAGTAATCTTAAGACCTCCAAGTCCTCGCCCAATGGCTTCGCGAAGAAGTCTGACGAGGAGCAACAGCAGCAGCAGCAACAACCACAGCCATCTCCAGGTCCAGGTCCAGGGCCAGGCGAAGATGAGTGCGACACTAGCAGTTCTGGTGTAAGCAGCGATCAAGACGGTCTGATGGCCACAGGAGGAGGAGGAGGAGCTGCAGCAGCAGCGGCAGTCCCCAAGCCCACCGACACTATCAAGAAGAAGCCAACAGTGACCATTGTGGAGGAGCCGAAGACTATACCCGATCAGCCCATGGCATCCACCAAGCCCATGGCCAAGACAACAATCAGCATTGGAGCAGCAAGTGGAGGAGCCACCACCACGCTGACTGTCAAGCAGTTGGTGCAACAGCAGCACGCTCCCGTTATACAGCAGCATCAGCAGCAGCTTATCACCAAGCCGACAGCCAATGTGGCTACAATGGCCAGCAACATCAACATGAAATCTCTCGGCGGCAACAATGCCACATCCGTGATGAGTCCACAGGTTCTGGGGCGCATACCCAACGTGCATCATCATCAGCAGCAACAGCAGCAGCAGCAGCTGCAACAGCAGGCGAATCCCAACCAGAAATTGATAGCCACGCAGCAGCAGATCCTGCAGCAACAGCAACAGCAGCTGGCCCACCAGCAACATCTGCAGCAGATCCTCAAGGCGAAGGCAGCCGCCGCCGGAGGAGCCAGCAACACGGCCGCCCTGGTGGCCAAGCATCAGCAGCAGTTGCACAAGGGAAACAGCGGCCACGAGTCGGAGATGGAGCAGCGCTCCGACCTGGAGGATGACGACGGAGACCTGAGCCCCTCGCCGCCTGCCAAGGCCTTCCAGCGGCACAACTCGCTCACACGCAAGCAGGCGGCGGCCATTGCCATGCAGCGGGGCGTGACCCGCACCTCGGCCGTCTCGCTAATGCAGTTGCCGCCGCCGCTGGAGGCCGACAGCGATGGTGAGGTTCCGCAGCACACATTGCAACGCCAGCATCCCCATCCCCACCCACACCAGCTCCAGCAGATCCAACACCAGCAACAGCAGCAGCAGCAGCAGCAGCAGATGGCCACGCATATTGTGGGCGTCTTGCCCAGCGGACAGTTGGTGGCTGTTGCCTCTGCTGCTGTTGCTGGTGGTCCGGGCGGGGCGACTGTAGCGCAGCCTGGCAACAACAATATGCAGCTGTGCACCGAGAACTTGGTCCTGGCGCCGCCGCCGCAGTTCTGCGATTGTAACGATGCCAAGCACGCGCCGCAGTCGCAGCCGCATCTGCCAGGCGGCCAGTATCATCCTCAGCAGCATCAACAGCAGCAGATTCAACAGCAACAGATTCAACAGCAGCAGATTCAACAGCAACAGATTCAACACCAACAACTCCAACAGCAACAACTCCAACAGCAACAACAGCTTCAACAGCAGCAACAACAACAGATGCTGCACCACCATCAGCGTCTGTCAGGCGGGGCTGGCGCTGGAGCCGTTGGCACTTTGGGACGAGTTCGCATCGTTGGCACCATGCCCAAGGCCAATCACCATCGGCTGCACTAGGCTGAGCTGGAAGAGCTGCACGAGCTGCGGGAATCAAATCTAACATTTGCCAAATCGTTAAGTCGTTAATTAGAGTTAGTCAACAGTCATTGCCATTCACAACGAATAGCTGCGGCTGCCTGCACCCGAGGAAAGACGCCACAAGTAGAGCATTAAGCAACACGAAGGCATAGAATACATAGCAGGCATAGCAATGGGTCCATTTCAGACACAAATCAAATCGTTGCTACTTCTGTATATTCACAGCAAATACACAACATTCAAGTTCAATGCGCTAAACCCACAAGAAAGTAATTATAAATGCAAATATTGCAAGTAGAGACGGATGTTAGGTGCGTGCATGTGTGTCGTGTCCGATTTGTCGAGGCAGTGCCCATACCAGAGGGAAGCTAAACGAAACACAATCTTAAATTACTTTTATTATATTTATTGAGTGTGATATAAATTTATGTAGGCTGACCGAGAGCAGCAACTAAACAAAAATATTTCTAATCCGACAGAAAGTGTGCGCGTTTGTATGCAATATTGTATTATGTTAGTCACCAAAACCACACCCAAATGCCTGTTCCAACCATTGAAAACAAACTGAATCGAACTGAATGTATTCGTTTCTTTAGTTTGCTTTCGATCTGCACAGTGTCGATGAAATGCCCCAATAGAAGTAGCCACGTATATATGTATGCATAGCCGATTTAGTTCGTAATGTTGAGGGGGCCGCCAGGGCAGGTTCATTTCTTCAGTATCCATCCATTGATCATTCGAGTTCGTGTTCGTGTTCGTATTCGTATTCGTATTCGTGTTCGTGTTCGACTAGTGCACAAACTATTTAAGCGACATTAACATTATTAATCCAATACACAACTAGCGTAGGTTTTATATGCCTAAAGAACGGGAGAATGCGATAGACGTTGCACCGCGTAACAATAAGATTTGTATTTGAGCATTTAGCCGAATTTCCAGTCAAATCAAGTCAACTAAATTAAATACTAAACCGATACTAAAACTTGTAATGTTTTTAAACATGAATATAACACGATATACCATAGCCTCGGAAATTTTATAACATAAAAAGAAGAAGAAAAAACAAAAACAATTTGGAAATCCAAAACGAAAACAAAACGTAAATTTTTGCTAGTAAAATTTACAGATTTTTACTTTAATAGATTTTTTGTACAATTGTTTTTTAGAGAAACCCTTAATCTTGCCGAAGGAGGAAAGTCGCGTATTATTGAAATATTGAAAGAGGTTCTCACATATTTGCCAGCGCTTAACGCAAATATCGTCATAGGCAACCCAAACTTACAGAATGCGTTTTCACGAGTAACAATTATTATATAACTAAGGCTGATCTTATTGCATAATTCATACTAAAACACAACCACAGATAAAGATACAGATACGATACAAGCACTGAAGCAGAAACAGAAACAGAATTCACAGAATCACACATTCATAGATGAGACAATTGAATAATAACGAAGAACTCCAATCACCAAACAAGCGATTGATGCATTTACACTGTTTAAACGAGGCTGCAGGCTCTTTGAGATATGAAAGAATTGAGTGGTAATACGAGTATAGTGAAATCTTTCCAATTGGCAGGCCGCACCTTTTCCCTAGAATCTAAGTGTTGAAAAGTTAGTACCCATAAAGCTAAACCATAAACATAATATAACATACAAGTAATTATCGGCAGATCTAGCATCTAACTAGATTTTATCACACTTTTTAGTTCTCGCAATAGTTGCTAATTATTTGTAAATTGTTTTAGTTCAAGCCCACGCCACACATACACCCCCTTACATACGAGTATATACAGAAAAATGTATGATTAGCCGTCAAGCTTGCTAGTTACTAAGTTAAACTACCTGGGATATCCATGTGGATTGCTCAGTTAAGTCCTACACACGTCTACGAGTAGATACATACATTCTTAAACCTATATTATGCGCATTATATGTAAACCGATTACGTTCAGCTGTTCAGCGTTCAATTGCGAATGCCGGAAGCTATACGAGTATAAACGAATATTGAATATGCATACACCACAATGATAATGTTAAACGATTAAAGCACACTCACTTACACACACCCACATACACTTTAAAAGCATATATTTAAAATTATGGCAAATATCTATCATAAGTCATCAAATATGCAATTATGTATTATGAACATGCGTATGAAGAATCAATAAATATGAATGAAAACTATTTCAACTGTTTGCTGAGCAGAAATTCCATCTTAAATTCGAACTTAAATATAATTAAAATGCTGGTATCTTTCTGTACGGCTATATGTTGGCAATATAACGAAAGATCTTATCAATCGATTGGCATCAGAAAAAAGATATCTATCTTTTTACGATTTTCGCAAAAAACAACCAAAAGTTGCATCATTAAAAAAAATGGAGAACGTTTTATTTTTATAATTCATGCCATACTTTGGGGTTTCTGCCATATAGGGCATATATATTTTCACGAATCTCAGAAACAATCATTATTAAATTTTCCAAAAATCGACCTCATTTTCGTAGTTGACATTCTGGAGTCTGGATTCTCCTGATCCTGTGAGAGTAGGTACTTTTATTGGATGTGCTAGTAATTAAAATGATCTAGCATTCAATTAAATAGGGCTAATAAGGGGTCAATAAGCAAATCGTCGAGCATTGTTCTCCAATTCCAGAATAAGTCGATAGCCAAAACATGAGTGATACTGACTATAAATACTATTGTATCTATCTCCATTTTCATGCGTTTGTCATTGTTGATACTTGACACAGCACAACATATTCATATTCATATGCTTGCTTACTTCAGTTACAATAGTTTTTCATCTTATCAAGGAGCAAACATTGTAGCTACGCGTAATTCGAAGAATGTCTGTTGCGAACCAGAGCCCGAAACTGTTAGGCATTAAGGTCGTGTGAGAGACCCAATAGAGATGACTACTCGCAATAGTATTATTGGAATCACTGATATTCAAAAACTGAAGATCAACATCAAGATGACGCTGAAGATGCTGTTCATTGTGGCCCACCTCAATGGAAGGTATTCCTTCCATTCCTCAGGCAATTACATTTCGTTTTGCCAATCATTTAGTTCTTGTTTGCTTTACATTGGGTTCTTTAATATTCTGGGGTCACAATAACGATTGACCTTTGCTGACAAGTGCAAACACCGGACCTAATCGGGAATCTAAAGGTTTAAAGGCGTTGCCAATTCGTTTAGGGAAGGGAATAGAAATATTCTATAAAAGGCACAGAGCGATGGGGACCCAACTCATTTCAAAACTGAAGATGAAGCTCAAGATTATTTTGCTCTGCATTGTGGCCGGCACTAATCAATATTCTTTTGGATTGGGCAGAAAATAGCCTTAAACCGACACTCCTTTCAGGAGAAAGGTTATTTATCTTTGGGATATAATACCTATGTAGAAATGGTATCCTTTGAAAAATAAACCCGAAGCTGAATTATTAAAGTCGCTTTATTAGGGCAGGGTTCACACAGGTATTTCTAAATAGTCTTTTGGTTCCGCTAAGAAGAATCTTGAGGATTCCTGATTTTTCTGGGGGGGGATTGTCTTCCCTTATCTGCGGCTGGAAGTCGCACGAGTTGTAATTACAGACCCGTCGACCCTGACCAGTCGCCGGCCTATATCATATTCTCACCTTATACCTGTCACATATGATGGTATCTGGGACCTTGGGCGGAGAGATGTTTTTTGGGTGCCGTTGCTGCATCAGCAACAGCAGCTAGCCCACCAGCAACATCTGCAGCAGATACTCAAGGCGAAGGCAGCCGCCGCCGTGGATATCAACATCAAGATGAAGCTGAAGATGCTCCTGCTGTTCATTGTGGCCCACCTCAATGGAAGGTATTCCTTCGATTCCTCAGGCAATTAAATTTCGTTTACCCAATCCTTTAGTTCTTGTGTGATTTCCATTGGGTTCTTTAGTGTTCTCGGGTCACAATAACGAATGACCTTTGCTAAAAAGTGCAAACACCGGACCTAATCGGGAATCCAAAAGATTAAAAGGCGTTGCCAATTCGGTTAGGGATCGGAATAGAAAAATTCCATAAAGAGCAGAGAGAGATGGGGACCCAACTCATTTCATAACTGAAGATGAAGCTCAAGATTATTTTGCTCTGCATTGTGGCCGGCCTCACTGGAGAATTTTCCTTTGGAATGGGCAGAAAATAGACTTAAGCCGAGTATCCTTTCAGGAAAAAGGTTATTTATCTTTCGAAGCTAAATAATTAAAGTCGCTTTTCAGGGCAGGGTTCACACAGGTTTTTCTAAATAGTCTTTTGGTTCAGCAAAGGAGGAATCTTGAGGATTCCTGATTTTTCTAGGGGGGATTGTCTTCCCTTATCTGCGGCTGGAAGTCGCACGAGTTGTAATTACAGACCCGTCGACCTCACCCACCATATTCTCACCCTATACCTGCCACGTATGATGGTATCTGGGACCTGGGCGGAGACTTGTTTTTTGGGTGCCTCTAAACTGAACTGCAGATTTTCTAATTTTCCCTTTGTGTACCCCACAGTGGCAGCTTCTCGAACGCCGACAGTGCGTCCATCTCACATTCGCTGTCGGTGGAGGAAATCCACCGCATACGCAGTAATCTCAAGACCTCCAAGAAGAGCAGCAACAGCAGCAACAACCACAGCCATCTCCAGGTCCAGGTCCAGGTCCAGGCGAAGATGAGTGCGACACGACACTAGAAGTTCTGGTGTAAGCAGCAATCAAGATGATCAAGCTGCACCCGCTGCAGCGGCAGTCGCCAAGCACATCTGCCAAGCGGCCAGTATCATCCTCAGCAGCATCAACAGCAACAGATTCAACACCAACAACTCCAACAGCAACAACTCCAACAGCTTCAACAGCAACAGCTTCAACAACAGCAACACCACAATCAGCGTTTGTCAGGCGTGGCTGACGCTGTAGCCGTTGCCACTTTGGGACAAGTTCACATCGTTAGTTGCTAATTTTGTCGTACATTTTCCTAGTTCCAGCACACAAATATTGAATATGCATTGGCATCAGAAAAAATATATCTATCTTTTTACGATTTTTGCAAAAAACGACTAAAAGTTACATCATTAAATTTGCAAAACATCGCCGATGTGTTTCGAATTTTAATCGTGCCATACTTTTGGTGTTGGAAAAAAATGGAGAACGTTTGATTTTTATAATTCATGCCATACTTTTGGGGTTTCTGCCATATAGGGCATACACATATCGGGAAAAATCATTATTAAATTTTCGAAGTCGATATTCTGGAGTCTGGATTCTCCTGATCCTGGGAGAGAAGGTACTACTGTGTAATTACTGTGCTAATAATTAAAGTACTTACTTTTTCTGTACGCTATATTTCGGCTATACTAGTGCTTTCAATTAAATAGGGCCAGAAAATTTATACATTATAATTACTTTATATACATATATGTACTCGCTTACTTTAAGCACGTCGCAAATCGTGCTTTCTGCCTCTGGCAACCCGTCTGGTTAGTTAAAAATTGTTCCCCATCGACATCGGTTCTGTTCTAGAAAGGCGATAACTCTACCGGGAGGGGGTCAATAAGAAAGTCGTTGAGCATTGTTCTCCAAGTCGTGAGAATAAGTCGATAGCCAAAACATGAGTGACATAAATTTGTTTTCAAGTGGCACATTTCCATTTCCATGCGTTTGTCATTGTTGTTGATTGACAGCGATTAGAGGATGGAGAACCAGTTCTAATTGACACAACACAACATATTCATATTCATATGCGTGCTTACGTCAGTTACAATAGTTTTTCCATCAGAGACTGTAACAACTGCTGCATGACTCAGCACTGGCCCAGTCGTGGAGGCACTTGCCTGATAAGACCGCCCAGTGAGAGTGCATGAAATTGAACAGAGCATCTTATCAAGGAGCAAACATTGTAGCTACGCATAATTCGAAGAATGTCTGTTGCGAACCAGAGCCCGAAAGTGTTAGTCTTAAAGGTCGTGTGAGAGACCCGATAGAGATGACTACTCGCATGCCAACAGCGTGATTTGCCATGCTCCGATTAAAAGTCAACCGCTATCGTGGTTCGTAATCAAAATTTACAGCCGCCCCACAGAAATAACTATTAAATGATTGGTAAATGAAACGATAATTTGACTATAATTTGAGCACATAAATCGGTGTGGAGTGGGTGGCGGGAATCAGTGTAGGGCATCCTAGCGCTATCGCTAGATCTTACTACAATTTCTGGTGGTCTGTGTCAAGTGCGTCGACGCTTAAGCAATTATCAATACTTATGTTTATCTCCCCGAAGTGGGGTTCTTAAACTGTTAACAGCAATATAGGATTACCAAAGCGCCCGCCCTCCGCACGAGTAGACGTAGACGGGTCGCTTCGATGATAAGGATAAGTATCAGTATAGTATATTGAAATTCGTTTGTCGTTATTTCGCTGTCATTTAGTAGCTGGAGAGCCATCGACAGAGTCGCTAGTACCGGGTACTTTTCTGTCAGATCCGTGGAGTGCTTGTACTAATAGACAATAACATGAAAATCGAGTGGGCTCCCCTACACGTCCCGCTGGCACGACGCCTGCAGACCCTGGTCACAGCGGTTCTCACCGTCACGTTCTTCACGCTGCCCCTTTTAGCCTGCCTCGTTGTTGCAGTCGTGCTGGTAACCATAGGAGTGCTGACATTGGTCAACTTGTTCATCTGCATAGTGTTTATCTTTCTCAGTTCTATGGGGGCATCATACTCCGCACTTTGATGCTCATTTATTTTGTTTATATGTTTGTGGATCACAAGAGAAACTACTCCATCTTGGAAGGCAATGGGTAAGTCTGTAAAATAATTACTTATTGTAGAGATAATCGTATCATATTCAAAATCTCCCTTAGCTGGATGATAAACCGTTCGAATCGTTTATATCGGAACTATCGCGACTATTTTCCCATAGAGCTAGTAAAGACAGTGGACCTGCCACCAAACAGAAACTACATCTTGGCCAGCTTTCCCCATGGCATACTCGGGTAAGCAGGCCGACAGATAGCCAATCTTATCGGGCTACTCAAGTGAAGACACATAGAACTGAATATATACATACATTAAAATGATCCCTCAAATAGAACTGGAGTTTGCGTCAACATGGGACTGGACATCGGCAAATGGCTGGAGTTGTTTCCCCAGATCCGTCCCAAGGTGGGCACCTTGAATCAACACTTCAGAACACCGCTGCTCCGTGAAATTGTGCGCTGGTGGGGAATGGTGTCGGTGTCCAAGGAGTCCCTGGTCCGATTGCTAACCAAATCGAATGATCCAAAGCATGCGGGTAATAGCGATGGCTTCACGTCCAATGCGGTGGCCATACTGGTAGGGGGCGCCCAGGAAGCCATGGACTCGCATCCCGGGAAGTATATTCTGACCCTGAAGAACCGCAAGGGATTCGTCAAAATGGCCATTCGAACGGGGTGAGCTAATGCTGGAAATATGTTATGCAAATACGGAAGTAACCTTCTTCTCCATCCAGATCACCAATTGTTCCCACGTTTTCCTTCGGGGAGGTGGATATATTCGATCAGGTGGCCAATCCACCAGACTCGTTGCTGCGTCGCGTGCAGTCTGTGGTGAAGAAACTGACGGGAATATCCCCGCTTATACCAGTGGGTCGTGGCATCTTCAACTATTCCGTTGGCTTCCTGCCCCAACGCCGTCGCATCGTCCAAGTTGGTGAGTATCAGCGCAGTCCGTATGAAAGAAAAAGCGCAATCTCTAACAAACATTTTGATTCCCCAGTTGGCTCCCCCATCGATGTGGTAAAGAGTGAGCAACCGGATGCCGCCTATGTGGACAAAGTCCATAGACAAGTCATAGAGGACCTCGAGAGGATGTTCGATCTTTATAAGGAGAAATATATACCGAACTCAAAGAACAGCAAGCTGGTTATACAGTAACTGCCTCTGATATTCTCAGGCCAAAAGTGATCTTCAGTGTAGATGGGTTATGCTTTCTAAGCATTTAAGCACAAACACAACACACACACAAAGTCGAGTTTAAGGATTATCTTTAACGAAAGCATACTATACATATGTTTTGTTGTTTTCCTTTTATTAATTATTACCAATTATTTATATATACAAAAAGAACAAGGAGCTGGATTGTAATTTTGTAATTCGTATTTGGAAAAGCTTAAATTAATTGCGCATTTTGTGCCACGATGCCATGCTCTGATCATTCATTAATTGAATTATCATCTTCCGCCTTGTATATGCTTTAACAACTATAAGGAATTTGATTTTGGTAAGAGTACGTGCTACGCTAGGAAAGATTCAATCGCAGAATTTCATTAAGGTACAATTCAATTTAGTAACACTTATCCAATTTCTTGCTAGTTTTCTTTTTCTTTTTATTTTAATTTGTTTTTTCCGTTTTTAAACTCTTAAGCAATGGCAATATTTGAAATTTTATGGAATATATGTATAAGTTCAATTGGGATGCTAGTTTTAAGTACTTGCAGTTGGCTTAATTTTTCAAAGTTTTCAAGTACTCGTAGACTTAGAGACTTATCTACAAATTTTCAAATATTTTGAAAAGTATTCGCCTATATGTATATTTTATGGTATATTCTTTGAGAAAGGAACACTTGGCATAAATTGGGTTTTCGATTGGAGTTCTCTTGTAGAGCTGAATAGGAGGCAAGGCCGTAGATACATGGATACATAAGCATATATGTACCATATGTTCCATTTAAACAACGATCTCCTAAGCTCTCTTCAAGCGTAACTTTTGAGTAGACTGTACTTTTAGCTAATTGAATAAGTATTCACGGTAACGCTGATGATTGTTAAGATCTGAATTCTGCTCTCACTATCGCATTCCGATTAATTGCTGTCGATACAAAATATGTATTTGGCATAATTGTATATATATACATACATATATGTATGTATGTTTATTGTAGTGGATGATATATATCCTCGACGATTATACATATACATATGTACATACATATAAGAACATTTCCAAAAACTATGTCTCTACTTGGTTTCTCGTTTTACAATAGGTACTAGCCAGGCTTCTGCTGCTGCTTCTGCTGCTGCTGCTGGCAATGTGCTGCGGTGTCAGGAAAGCGCATTGCATTGCTTGCATTAGCCCTTCATCGAAAGTTCCTCGACTTTACTTTGTTTACTTTGGTGTTTTGGTTTCTTTAAATCAATCCCTGAGTGCATTTTGCTTTGCATGTACATAATTGCTATATTAATCAACTGTTGAGTGTTGGCTGTGGATCTATGTATGTATGTATCTCCGAGTACTCGTAGATGTTGGCAATTGGCAATTGAGTGGGTTCGGCATCTGTCGTATGTGTGCGTGTTTTGTTGTCTGATTGCTGCCAGCGAGAGCGAGTGCCATAATTGATTCGACTAATTACAATACGTATGTATATCTATATAAATATATACTATGTATATTTATCCATACATATACTGAGTTGTATATGGCGACGGCGTGCTCTTGGCTTGGAGTCGGGACTTGGGTATCCTTTTGAGCGCAAACGGTGCTTGGAAGATAAAGGGGGACCTGTGTGTGTGTGTGTGTTTTTCTGTCCTTCGCCTAAACATAATTCATATCAAAGTTGAACGTTTAACATTAACTATTCGTTAGGTTCTTTATTGGTGTTTCGATTCCTGGGAGGAAGGGGCCGTCCTCACGGTGAGCTCTAGTAAGTATCGTATCTACAAAAGGTATGCGTTCCGAGTGTTGATTCGCTTGCGTTGATTCTCCCCTTTGGTTTGTAACTTGTTAATTGTTAGTTTTGTGTGTATTTAGTATATTTATTTATGTATAAATACAATTGAATTTATAGTACGTATGTATTGTATGTATTTATGTGTATATATCGGGGGATCAAACTGCATACGACGCGTTAGGCTCTAGTATTAATACATTAATAATACAATTTGTAATTGCAAAGATAACTAACAATACAATACAATATATATATATATATTTCTATATTCCTTTCCAAATTCCGTAGTACAAGTAATCATTTTTGTTATATTTGTATATGTGTATATATGTCCGTCATCTAATCAAATTTCATTTTGTTCAGCACTGCTAACATTTTTTGGTTTGTTTTGGTATCATCATCATCTAATAGCATCGTCCAGATCCACATCCTCCTACTTATCCTCATCCTACTAATAGTTCAACGTGTGTATTCTTATGTCCTTCGCCTGCTGTCAATCAATAAATCTTCTGAATCAACTAATTAGCTAATTTCCATGCACTTCATAAGAATGTTTTACATAATTCTCGCTTTTGGGGGGGGATTTAGGATTTACATATCTGTACGTAGATTTATCATTTATCTAATTGGTTGGGGCGTGGGGGCGACTCTGGGCCCTTCCACAAACGAATGCTAGACAATGCTCAACAAAACTTGCGTCAGATCAATCGGTAAACGACAACATCGATAGTTATGCGCAAGTAAACAATTATTACTTATCAAGAAAACAAAATACGTTCTATAAAATCTATAAAAACTTCACATGTGTGGGTGTATATATATGTATGTATATGCTATGGCGGCTGCGCTGTCCTTAGACAGCCACAATGGCCGCCATCTACGAGGCAGTCGGCACAGGATTGAAGTAATGCAGGCCATTGGTCTGTAATTAAAGAGAATCATCAGCATTGGAATCTATATCAGCAAATCTTGGGCTATAGTCCTTCTGTCTTACCGCCATGTCGTATTCGGTTATGTAGGCGGGTATTTCCAGCTGATCCTTTGTGATGGCCGAGTACAGATGCTCGACTCCAGGCAGAGAATGCACTTTGGCCTTGATGGCGGGCGCCATGAACGTGGTGAACCACCAGGTCATCATTTTGGTCCAGAATGTCGGATGTACTATGTAGAAGGCCTTCAGGTTCTTCTTGTATCTGGAAGGCAGAGTTATTAGAGATTGTTTGGAAGTCCCTCAGGATGGGGCACACTCACTTGTAGGGCAACACACTGTAGACCTCGCGCAGCCAGTGCAGCGATGGATAGTTATTCGTGGATGTCAGTGTGTGGAAGTAGGAAATAACATAGTCTCCTTTTACGATGGGATCCAGTAGCTTTATCAGATACAGCAGCGCCTGCAAAAAACCCAGTTTATTCAACACTCTGACCCGACATTGATTCGTGCAAGGGATTGGAATGCCTACCTTCTCCAGGTCAATGTTATGGGCGGGGAACCACTTGCCGCAGAACACAATCACAGGGCGACCTAAGCGGTCTACACCGCTCTGATACAGACAGCCAATGCCCGAGACCTCCGTCAAGTCCTCGACCTGAGCGCGACGCAGGAGACGCTCGTATCTGAAGAAGAAAAGATAGTACAATTATTATATACATGGGAAAATGCAGTAAGGTAACCGAAAATCAACAGTGAATCAATCAGTTGTTTGTCGGTGAAAGCTCTGGGAACAATGGATGTTTCATCTCAAAGCAGGTAATAGAAAAGATGGCCTCTTTTTGAATCACGATCGATTAGAGAATGGATTACACGCATGACTAACTTTATTTATTTAGACAGACACACACACTCGTATATACATATGTAATCTGTGTACTTTTCTTGGGAAAGCGCGAGAAGCTAAGCCCATAGATACGAGTATTGCCACAGCAATTATGTGAAATCACTTGACTATAGACTAGAGATACACAGAGGGTTAAGGGGGTGTCTCGCAATCGATTATGCCGGCACGCAACTCCAGGCCATGTACGAGGCGACGACAGTCGCTAGTGACTGCCATAACAGTCTGTCAGTCCGTCTGTCCGTCAAGAGCAGAGCTGCTGTATTTCGCATTGGCCAACTTTTTGAAATTCATTTCGCAAAAGCGTTCAAAATCATGTTTATCTGTTGAATTATAAATTTGAAATGCGTGCAATGCTGTTGTTTCGCTGGAGTGTGTGCTTTGCCTTAATTTCTGTTGGGCAAATATTTGCCAGATAAAAGCTCAAAATTAGATCAAAAGCGGGAAGGATGGAGAGGGGCAGTGGGTGAGGGGGAACCTTATTAAATGGAGTGATGAAAATCGTTCTAATTTGAACAGAAATTGGATTGGTAATGCACTGCGCACATTACTGCATGAGTCACATTCCAACTGGCCAGATAATGGATGCACATGACTATATTTACACATCTGTACATGTTCGGGAGCTGAAAATTTGTGCGAAATTGTGCTAAGGCGATTAACAGCTTTCGACTGACACACGCCTCATTAAAACATTGGGTCTTTGACTAATTTCAGGTGAGAGATCCGTATCGTGCCGCACTGAACTCCGGTAGCAGCAACCGATAAGTCGCAGCATGCTGCAGAGCCGTAAACGACTGCAGAGGAAGCTCCCAGATAAGGATCAAGATAATTCTGGCCAACACAAACGCCCAAATGTGACGCATTGTGACGTAGTCTTAGCACAACACAATCTCCATCTCATTCCTAGTGTTTGCCCAGCTACAGATACAAATGCTGATGCACGAGTAGTGGGTTCAGATGGGGCTTGGGTTGGGGTTGGTTGGTGTTGTATGGTGTTGGTTGGTGCCCCACGAATATGGTTATCGTGTGAAAAGCACAATGAATATTAAGCCGAAATGCTAATCCACGGAATAAATCTCACAGCTTAACAACTTGCAGCAAAAGCAGGGAAAGGTACTAATGTTATTATTAGATCACATTTCCTGCAATCACGGATGGCATGTTATTGTTCACTGGCACGTACTCGCAGAGCGAGGCATCTTCCCCTGTTTGTTCATTAATAATGTAGCGGGTGGGCCAAGGCCAGGGCCAGGAAGGGGGAAATAGTGGAAATGCATATCGAATTGAAGGATATACATAAAAATGGTTCCATAAATAGCACTGACGTCATGAATATGTAACAAGCGAACCGACGTCATCGCAATTGTGGAAGTGATTCCGACTTCTTACAGTGATTGGCACCTTTCAATGGATTCCGACTGATATGTACCTTTCCTCAGGCGACTCCATGAGCTCATCGGGCAGCACATCGTTCATGTCGCCCGTGGTCTCCTGCATGGGACTCGAGCCCAGGTCAATCGACGTCATGCCTTCCAGCATTGTCATAGTTCACAGTTGTAAGTATTTGTTGGTGTTGGTGTTGGTGTATTGTCGGTGGGTGGCACTAGTTCGCGTGTCTCCTCCTTTCGCCTTTCGCCTTTCGCTATTCGCCTTTCTCTTCTCAAACAATTACGGTTTATCGATTTTAAGTCAAAATAGAAAATTCCGTTTTACGGGCTGGCCGATCTGATCTGATTTCCTTTTGCTCTCTTATTGTCGTCTCCTTTTCAGCGCTATTTCGTTTTCAATTGACGCAGTATTGTCTTATTCGTTTTAAATTTTAAGAGTGTATAAATAGTTTAAGAATTCTCGAAAAAAAACTATACGTGGGCAGCTTCTTGGCCAGACTTTTGGTTGGTAAACGGAAGCCGCGCGTGAATATGCAAAACTAATGCCTTTATGCTGTGCGATTCGGTTCACAGTAAAATTATTGAATTTATCTCTAGTTTATATAAAAATTGGCGCCGACGGTGGCAAAACTTTGAGTATTTCAATTCACGTGCGTTCGCTGTGAGTGGCGCCTTTCGACTGAGCGGTGGAGCGGCGTGCTGCGCTGCTCTTGAATGCTTTTTCGCCCCCATCACTCGCATCTATGTATATTATGTACCCCATCAGCAGGTCAGAGGAGAGCAGCGCACAAGCAAAGCAGAGCAGATGGCACAAGGTGTATATTAACAAGGCCTTGTTTGCCTCTCTCTCCTTCTATATCCGCCTGAAGCGATGAGAGACCGAGAGAGAGGTCTGTGGGAATCTCTCACCTCAAATGAATATACCTTGACAGCATGAAAGCAAAGCTCGCTCCCGCTCTCTCTTTTCCTTTCTCCGACTTGTACTCTTTGAGCGTGCGCCCTATCGCCGCCTGTTCAATGACATCAGTTACAACAAGCAACAACAACAAAAATCAGCGGCACCAGGCAATTGCCCAAGGACATGCTAACCGCTTTATTTGCGCTAATGTCAGTCACTCCAAGACAAAAGAAAACTGTCCAAAAAATGAAATCAGTTCAAATGTTTGCATTCGTCAGTGGCAGCTAAATGCGCAGAAAGCCACAGAAACGAAACCGAAATGGCAAAGGTTCTATTTCGGTGCTTCCTGTCTTCTAGTGCCTTCTCTCTTTCGCCCACGCAGTGTGTAACAATTCCATCAAAAAGAGAATTGAAATGCGAAAACATTACGGTAAACAGCAACATCACCATCACCATCACTGACACTGACTCATGCACGTGTGCTTGTGGGGGAGATTCTAATTAAAGCTAAAGGGAGGAAGAGGCTGCGCGAGGTGCATTCCCCTCGCACGCACACGAAGAAACTCGTTCAGGAAGCGGCGGCGCCTGCTCGTCTCCATCTCCCCTCCCCCGACCACTGGTACTGCCAACCGCTTGAATAAATTACGTTACATGGGGAGATGTTCGATTAAACGTCTACAAAATGTGCGCAGCGACGGCTGTGCGGTTTCATTCAATGAACTGCAACGGTTCGATATTCTTATATGTTTGTATGAATGTGTATGTGGTACACACTCCAAGGTACAGGTTGTGTGTGCATGTACCGACCTGATCTGATCCGGTTACGTGTGGATGCCCGGTCCCATTCGCACTGAAGCATGCCAGAATATGTCATTTTAATTAGGGAACTGACAATATTATATTTGGCGAAAATGTGCATTGAATTAACGCGATGCATAATCAAAACTGTCATTTATTATTCGACGAGCGTGAAGGGAGAGGAGAGCAAAAACGATACTATTAATGGTAAATACTCATTTTAATAAAGCATTTTCCGTTGAAAAGGCTCCCCCCAACCCATTATCTATCTTTTAAAATGGTCTATTTTGGCGTGGCTTTGTCACGGTAATTATCTATCTCATGATTCCATTATAAATATTCATAAATATTTAGCTCAAAGCTTCACTTTTGCGACTTGAGCAGTAAAAGAAAATATTTTTAGCTGGCATTAAAATTAGATTTGTATTCAGCTTAAGGTGAAGGAGATGTCATGCAAACAGTGACGCCGACATGGTCAATCCATCGTCACTGCTGTCGTCACAAATGGAAAACCGGGCACTTGGCATTCTGCGATTACTGTTGAGCAGGACCATGGGCCCTACTGACACTCCGCTCCGCTCTGCTCTCCCGTTCAATTCAATTTCCACTTGCCAGCCCGCCCGGTGGCTGCTTGCGTGCCAGTGCTCTGTAAAAATTTCGACAAGCGGCAGCGGAATCGGAATTTCCATAAGGAGCAGGCTGAGGTGGGTCGAGTCGTTTGTTAGACGCTTAAGATATTTCCGGCATGCTTTTGTAATAAATACGCTCTGGGCCAAGAGTTCCATTACAATGTGTTTATGGGCGGAATGGGAGGGTGCGAAGTCGGGGGCTGCGTGTCTTGCTGTCAGTTTTATGAACTGCAGATGTCCCCCGCGTAGCACTCGTTGGGTGTAAGGTACGCCCCAGAACGAGTGACGCAATGCGTAACACGATATGGGGGACAGAGAATAGTGTTGTGCTGCATCTGTGGCGCCTCTCACTCACCTCTCCTGGTGCTCGATCCCCTCGACGCCCTCGGATATGACATTCTCATAGACTCCGGCCCGCGGACGATCACTAAGCAAATGTTGTCTGTCCAGATCGCGCTGTGGGAAGACAGAACATGTGTCTTTATAATTAATCCGATAATCTTTCGAAAACCCAATCAAAGCTCACCTGAAGCTGGGTCTGAAGTCCACTGCTGTAGGAGTTCGGACTGAGTCCGTTCATGTCCTTGGCTCCGTACTCCAGGTCCGAGCTGTTGCCCTCCATATCGTGCGGACTAACGTCGGAATCGTCGTCGGCTGCAAGATGCATAGAAAGAGCATCGGTTGATTATAAAGACTCCCAATGTATTTCCATGGTCCCACTAAGCCTACTCTATTACATGAGAACTCAAACGAGTTGTTTATCATTTTGGGCTTGCTATTATCAGAGTACAGCTAAAAGATAATGCTCAGCCGAACTTCAGCGATGCGGAATTTGAGTTGAACTGAAAGCGGTCTCTGGCACGGCCTTTTCTCGACTGCGCTGTCGGAGCGCGCGAGCAGATGAGCGAACGGCAAACAAAAACTGGATGCTGCTGCCTGCCTTTGCTCTCCCCCTGCGATAGCCCGATAAGGCGACTGCGTATTGCTCCCCAGTGTTGACATGATTTAGTTTAGGCCTGGTAGCCCACAAAGAATGGAGCGACTGACATTCGTCGCGGCTGTCCTGATAAGCGGTTTCTTCAGGTAAATTAACAAACTTTTGTTGACAAACTAACGTAATGCAAATGCGAGCAAGTTTTCTAGTTTTGCTTTACAAGATTAATTTACGAGCAGCTAACAAAAAAACGTGTGTAATTTCAAGGTTGATTAGAGTTAAAAAAGAGTTCAATTCAATTCACATTAACTGCTTTTGGGAAGCTTATATTATTGATTATTGATATTATTCTGTTGGTCCTCATCACACTACTACTTTTTTTATATCATATTATTGATTATTGTATTCGTAATATTGTATTCTTATCACCCAGAAATGCTTGATTGCACTTATTTCGAAAAAGTTATCGGCTCTGACGATCATATCACTCATTTGTACATTTACGTGACAAATGTCAAGTATACACATAAGTTACGCGACATGTAGCATGTAAACTACACAGCCTAAAAGTATGTTGTCTTGGAAATCTCTCACGAATTCATAGCAATCAGCCTGCTGTCAGCGCAGCGTCGGATGCAAATATAAATGTTTGAAATTGGTAATTTCTTGCTCACTTTAAATGGATTTTTTGGGATAATGTAAGTCATTTCTACTCAATTCTGTAACTTTCCTTTTGGTGTAACACTGAAAAATTAGTTGTGCGGAATGAACCTTTGGTGGAACAATTAAATTTGGTGGCCAAATAATTGGAAATTGAGCGACTTGTACTAGACAATAGAATGCAACTGCTAGTGACCCGCACACGACCGACTTTGCAACGTAACTGAAGCCATAGAAGTCAGTCAGTCAGTCAACATAGCTGACGAGCAGCGTTTGCATATATTTTGTTGTTTTTCATGTTCTTTGTGCTGCTTTTTTGGCTCTAATCTTATCGACAGCCGCACAATACGATAATAACAGGGCCGAAACGGAATCATTACCGTACCCCGAGTCGTATCTCCATTCGCTGGAAGATAAGCACAGGCTTTTTTCATCTTCGACAGTCGATAGCAATAGCCCGACGAGATACGAGTATGCGGGGAAAATAGTGACGACAATCAGATTAGGAAATACTCACTGTGGCCGTGACGCATGTGGACACTGTGCTGGGGATTGCGAATAATGCGGATCTGGCGGTCGGGATCGGGGTGCTGCGGCTCGCCGAACTCGCCGCCAATGTCCTTGGGCAGCTGCCACAGGGCGCTGCGCTCCTCCAGCTGGTCGCGGGGGAAGTAGAGCGGGGCCAGCACCTCGTAGGTCCCGCGCTCGTTGCTGTTCACACATAATATCACAACCTGAAGGGTGCACTTGTCCAGGTAACGTCGGATGGTGCCTGCGGGCGATGGGAAACTGTCATTGGAAACTCTCAAGGTGCGGCAGGCTAAACTCCACTACTCACGCAGGGCAATGTGTGCGGCCACATCCGATGGAAAGCTCTTCTGGTGGACACTGATGTTGCACAGGGCGATGGTGTGCAGGTTCAGTTCCTTGGCCTTGCACAGAACGTTTCTACAGATTGAAATGGGCGTACGGAACAGCATTAGAGAGCGCCATGGTAGCGATGGGATCATGATCATCCTACCTGTAGCAACAGTGCAGCGTATTCTCGGCGGCGGTCTTAAACTTTTCCCTGTAGGTGGGCGCCACTGTGTGCAGCACATACTTGGCGGGCAGATTGTATCCACGCGTGATGCGCACATCCCCAGTGCGGCATTCTGAAAGAGGAGAATGAGAGCTGAAGCTTAAGAGGGAGGAAAAAGTGTCTCATCTCTGACCCCCACTCACCTTTGACGTTTGTGCTCAACTCCTCCCTCAGCTGATTGCCAGCGACGGCGAGTATGCGCTCCGATATGGTATTGCTTTCAGTCAGAGTTTCATCGCTGGTGTTTGTGATGGCGTCCACATCCAGTGTGGTCATGTCGCCATCCCTGCGGACAGAACAAACGAACTGACATTACTCTCACTGGCACTGGCAGAAGGAGAGGCTCACTGCAATTGCAGTTCCACTTCCACTTACCAGATCACCAGACGATTATTGACATCTTTGGACAGGGGAAAGGGACTGCGATTGTGCCGGGGTCCGCCCAGCGTCGAGTAGTCCGTGATTGGCAGCCGAGTGTCTGTTTTCTGCGAGCCACCCCAGGTGGCCAAGTTGTCCAACTTGACGAGCTGAAAAGGATGAATCGACAGGCATGGTATGGCATGAGCATCGCTGGTGTTTTTAGTTCGAGCTTTACTCACACATGAACTGGAGCTGGAGCTGGATTCGAATGCTTTGAAGTCCACATTTGAGTTCGTGTCGAGACGCATTGCGCTCACTCTCTGGAAAGGGTAGAAGAAGGAAGACTGTGAGTATTAGATTAAACATATTTATATCATCTGCCGATCGGTGTGTAACTCTGGCCAAGCTCAGTAAGCACCAAACACAACCTGTTCGAGTGTCTCAGTTTGTGGTTCTTTCGTTATTTGGTCATTTCCATTTTGGCAAGGCAATCTGTTAACGATAAAGCCAACTCTTTCTGAAAGCCGGCCAAAGCCAGTTTCGGCCTGCGGAATCTTGTGTGTGGCTGAGTGCCCAAAAGTTATCTCCAACTCCGCGAGTGAGTCACGTCTGATAGCCCCCTCCTGCTCGATGGGTCTCGGTCTGGACGAGCAGTGAATGAATTGTATAAATATTTTCTTTCTAATTGTCATCGTTAGATGTCATCACGTAGTCGGAAGATCTTAATTCGCGAGTAAACACGACAAAAAGTGTCTAGCTTTATTCCGCCGGAGAGAAACGCCCAGTCCCATTGTTAGCTGCTGTTCGTTTTTAGCTCACAAATTGGCTCACAGAAAGGGCTGCCTGCAGCAGTGTTTCCTTCCATGCCCTCCACCCTCCCCCCTCCTCCTACCCGCCCAGCGATTGCCCCACCTGCGTCATGTGCGTCACGAGACGAGCGTAGTGAAAGGTGAAAATAAAAGTCAGTCACCAGAGATGTTGCAAAGTGCAAACTGCTGGGCAAGTGCTGGTAACTGCAGCTGCGCTCTTAATTGCCATATCGGATGCTGGGGCTGGAGCTGGGACTGTGGGCTGTGGGCGGCTATATGCTATATCGCATCGCCTACCTTTGCCCTTTTCGGCCAGGCAAACACACACAGAGGTGGCCAAAAGTGTAACCAACTATGTGGGCGTGTGTGCAGGGCGTGATGCATGTGCATCAAAACATCCTTTCGATCCACTCCCATTTGCACAAGGGAAAAGGGCTGGATGGAAACGGTAGGAAAGCTGGTGTCAGTGCCAGTCATTGTTACGGATTTGTGTCGAGTGCCTCTGTGCGATAAGAGTAGGTGTCGTGCCTCGAAAGGGGGGGGTAAACACACAATGAAAAACTTTCCACATCCCGAACACAGAGGCTCTTCTCGCACTTGTTTAAACCTGCAAGATTTCAAGGGAATGCCCGATGCCCGCATCTACGAATACGATGGATTACAATGAGATTATGTAGAGAAAGAGACGACAGTTGATCGGGGAAAACCACTGTTTTGATATGTTTGAAATCAGAAAATGGGTAAATAGTAAGTAATTATATTAAATTGTGGGTGTGGCAAGTGGCGTGGAAACAATGTAAAACAATGTGTAATCGGCGTAGGCATTACTCAGGTCTAAATATAGTACCTTCCAAGCTACGGATGTTCTATGTACTTGAGCTCTTTGTGGGTTCAGATAGACTAAATATACAGACTTGTCTGTATAAGAGAATGGCCAGTTCTGTAAGAGATCGTTTAAATAGAATTTTCTACTCGTATTCCATCATCAGTAAATTTAAAATAGCAATAAATAACGTTCCCCCCCTTTGAGAACCCCTTGAGGAGCCTGGCGTGATCGTTGGCTGTCATTCATTCATTCATTACATAAGCGTGCCAGTGGGGGCGGCATGCAGCACAGGTACAGGCCCAGACACCCTGTATACGGGTCCAACAGGTCTAACCGGCAATCAAAATTGACAAATAATGTCCAGCTTGTTTACGTAGACTACGTTAACTACGTTGCGAGCAGCTGTTGATAATGATGATGATATGGTGTTGTTGTTGTTGTGGAGAAACAGAGGCAAACGAGAGGCAAATGACGCCTCCACTGGGTTGGACTGTGTTGATTTGCGCGCATACCACAGCCACAGTGGTGTGCCACAGCCTCTCGCTCTGCTCTCTCTCTCTCTGTCTTTCCCGTTTATCAGGAAGCAGCACAAAAACAGGCTAAAACTTTCACTTTGCTGTCGAAATGAGATTCCAGTTAAGTTGCAGATTGTGGCTGCAGTTGTGGCAGGACAACAGCCGAGGCCGAGGTCGAGGACAACGGCAACGGCAACCAGGACCACGCTTGACTTCCTGCCTCCCTGACCGATAACTTGATTCGCAGTTACTTCTTTGATTGCATTCAATGTGAGCAATCACAGCAGGACCTGCCACTGCCACTGCCCATGCCACCACCCCACCTCCCTTGGCCAATGGAGTGGGTTTCTGGCCGGGGTCCAAAGGGTGGCATGTGCTTCCTTGGCGCTGATTCGTCTTTCCAGTTGGCGTGCCGAGTCAATTACATTTGTTCAACTGTGTTGCATGACATGATTGCCGCTGCCTTCCCACTTCCCCCGTACCCCCCGTACACCCAAGAGAGAGGAAGAGAGATAAGTAGATTTTGTTGGAAACTGTTGGAAAGCGTTGCATTCGGAAATTAAGTAAATATAAATGTCGATGCAGGGGATTGAGAAAATTCCTCATCATTGTTGGACTGCGAATGTGCAACAAATTGTGGCAAATATGTAGGTTCGTTTTTCCCCGATTAATAAGAAATGATATAAAATCAATATTTGACAGGGGATTATACCAGATTATACCAGATATGATATGGGATAAGACACTCAAAAATCAATATTAAGAGACTCAATAAATTATAACGATATTGCGAGAGTATTCCCCTGTCGTTCATGACATACGAGTGTTCTATATGTGTTCCTTGGACTCCCCACTCCACTCCACAAGCACTCTTCTCTTCTCTACCACCGTTGCACCCTTCGACCCGTTCAGTTCTCATTTGGGAAAGAAAACCTGGCACAAAGTTTGTTTACTCTACACGCTCAATCCGCCAAACTGTTGCATAATAAATGCGAAATTGTCGCCCACATGCCAAGGCCCGAGCCGAGTCGAGCCGTCCAGCCGTTCCGTTCTGGTTGGATATGTTCCAAAATAACAACGAGAACAGAAAAAAGAACTTGGCTTTTGTCGCCGTCGTGGGTCATGTAAAACTACAACAGGGGCAGGAGCGGGGGCAAGGACTGTGGCAGTAACGGCACCCGCAGCAGTGCCAGTAGTGACAACAATCCATTGGGTCTGCGCTTGGCACGAACCGAACCGAAACGGAACGGAGTGGAGCAAGAGACGAGGGACGGGTAACGGGAGACGAGACTCTGGCAAATTAAGTATACGCCATGTATGTGCAGGTTGTTGGCATTGTCCTTTGCCTTCTGTGATCTCCGGCCCGGGGACAAACCCAAGCCAAGTCGCATACCAGCAGCAGCGCAGTACCAGCCGGGAAGCGGTCCAATGAGCGCCAACGATTTGTGTATCTTTGAAATTCAGCAGCGGAAAGTCAGCGTCAGCCAAATATTTGTTGTTTATATTTATTTCGGATGCGTCATAGGCGGGGCCTGGCCTGGCCTGGCCTGGCCTCGACGAGGCCCATGTTTGGCTTTGTAATGCTCTTCGCAGCGCGTTTCAATCATTAGCCCAGGCGATTCTCAAGCCCAACGACAACACCGGTGACGTCACCACTCCACTGGCGCTGTTCTAGCAGATAGTCGTGCTTTAACGACTGCTCGCACTAGCTCGCACTGAAACCAATTTGGGATTCATTTCCCAAGCCATTGTTAACGATAAATTGCCGCAATCTTCCAGGCATTATCTACCTCTAAATTGTGTCAAATTGTCGACTGGCAAATGTTAATTATAATTTGGCCAAAACCCAACCACATTTCGGGCCAGCGATCCACCTGAACCCCGGCCAAGTCGACTGCATATGTATATATAATGGCCCCGCCGAAGCATTAAATGAATGTGGGCGGAATATATGCCAGGAACATTGTGCTCTGGTTGGCCGACTCCAATGACCCCAATAAGCTGCCTGTCCGTCGGAACAATAGATCCGATATTACTCGGAATTGTTGGGGAAATTACAATTCTATTAAGGAAATGCCACACACTTGCATGGCCAATGCTAAAACGTTTGTTATAATGAAGCAGCAGCCGTTGGCAGGGGAATGTCCGAAGGGCACAGTGGTACAGATAGGTACAATTCTTAGGGGTTCTTACTGATTTATTTCAAATACTCCAATGTACGGCGACCGTCAGAGTGTGTTGAATGGTTGGAAAACATTACATGGAGAGTAATTACACTATGCACCGAACTTTTTTTGTAACCAGTGGAGGTATGAGCTGCTTTTTACAAGTTCATTGAAGAAATATTCTTTTTCAATATTTTAACAGGTACCATCTACCATCGTTTTGACCCACTGTGATTTCGTTGGTCTCCGAGCAATTTGAAAACAATTTGATAATTGAGCTACGGAGCTTCCGTCCTGGACAGGCGGAAGGACATGTGTGGGGGCTACGGATGATTGACTGGGGATGCAATTAACCGTCGGACAGGTGGGGAATCGCATTCATCGTTTCCTTGCCGCAGCTGCAGCTTTGAGTCGGAGGTGAATCTGAGCTAACTCGATTGATGGCTGGCAGGCATTGGTCAGTCGAAAGGTCAGGCCACAGTTGGCAGAAAGCAGGGCTAGGGAGGGAGGGTGATAGGGTGGTACGCGTACTGCAGTCATATTTGATATTCAGAACACAGAATTTCAAGGAAAACTCACGGGCTTAGAGAAAGCTGAATCAAGGCTGGGGGCGATGGTGTGTTTACAGTGGTTATGGTTCGGCTCGATTCTGATTCAGATTCTGAGCGGGGGTCTGTTCATTCAAATGGTTTACCACTCGCTTATTAATGTATTTTCGTATAAATTTGTAATGCATCCGAAGCCCCTGCAGCACGTACACATGGCATTGTCAGCAGGCGGACAGGGGAACAGAAAGGGGTATCTACAATTTTCACTGAGTCGGAGTTCGTGGATAAACCTGTCACTGAATGAACGTTACCACCACCCAAACCACCACCACTACACCACACCACACCACACCAACACACACACAGACATGGCGGAAAATGTTTGCTTGGGGAGTTCGGAGAGACAACTCACTAATCAACCGAAATCATAAATAATTAGTACTGCTCTGCCTCTGCAGCCCCCGTTCTGGCCATTCTGCTGCTGCTGGTACTCTGGCTGGCTCTTGTGGCGCAAACTGGAAGTTGCACAAGCTACGCTCTTGAAGGTTATTGTATCTTTTTTCTCCTCTTTCGGATACGGATACTATAGCATCTATGAAATTGAGAGTGTGTGCGCGGGGCTGTGTCTGTGTGTGCGCGTGGGCTTGTGTATTTATATAGCAAGCCCCCTTTTCCACCAACGTTTTTTGCCCATTTCGAATCAGAATCAAAATACTATGGGCATTGTATAACCCGTGTGGTAGCTTTGTATAACTTCTCAAGAATCGAGCCCAATAGTACCGTTGTTGGCCTCGTTTTCAAAAATGCACACACAACTTTTTCGAAATGAAAACACCGTAAGTAATGCACAAACACAAACACACCCACACGCGAAAGCACTCGCTCCCATACACACACAGACACCCACTCGCACGCGTGTGTAAACGGGTGAGGTGACACAGGGGGTGGCGGAGAGTATGAGATAAAAGAAAACGCGGTAGTTGGTGGTAGGCGCGGCGGAGCTTCAGCTTCAGGTAACTCTGTCCGTGTCTTCTATATGTGTGTCTGCATGTATGTATGCATGCACAAGTAACGCTGAACGCTGAACGAGTGTCTGTGGCTCTGTGCCAGTGTGTGTCTCTGTGAGTATTTGCAGTCAAAATCGGATTCACATTTACTATACGCACTCTTTTCGTTAATCAATGAATCAAACTCGAGCTCCAACAGCAGATACGGGGCTCGGAACACTCTTTTATTGCTTTGTCGCGTTACGTTTCCCGTTCTCTCGAGTTTCTCTTCCTCTTTTGCCAACTCCGCTATCCACTTGCTTCGTCAGTGAAAACGTGAATGAGGAGCATGTTCAATTTTTGGGGCGGCAAGGCCGACGAAAATTCAAACGAGAATGGGGAGCAGTTCACACTGAGCTTGAGCGGACCTCAGAAATATACCAAAATATACCGTTTATTTTCGAAATAAACCGTAAATATACTGACGAATTATTCAACGAATGCAATTAGGCCATCAATGTGCGCGCCAAATAGAAATTGTTTGAAAGTGAGTGAGCGACAAGGATTTAGACGGAATGTTGCACGGAAGTACAATGTGAGAGAGCGCATGCAAGGTGAAAACACCCAATTGGCCCAATATACCTTGAATATACTTAATATACAAGCAGCCGATTTTGTCTTCAAGGTATATTGTCCTCACTCGCGAGGTGAGGTGACGTTCGTACGAACCATTTCAATTTGCCTTGGCTGTTTTTGCTTATTGTCCATACCTTTTTTTAAAACCCCATTTGAAATTACGACTCATTTTATCGTTGACGGAGAGAGGCGCAGTGTGACCGTCTGACCATCAAAAATAACGCAACTATACCCCATGAGGAAAATTCAAACGGGAATGAGGATCATGTTAGCGTTTTGGGGCGGCAAGACCGACGAAATTAAAACGAGAATAGGGATCAGTTCACACTGTGCGTCAGCAGACCTCAGAAATATACCGAAAATACGACACAAATTACAAAATATACCGTATGAGCCCCTTGGAAAGTCCAGTGTAAAAAACCTCCATTGTCCAATTTTTGTCTTTTACCGAATTTTTGAAAAAATTGAGAATCCCCGTAACCGAAATACCGAAATGGGCCGATGAAAACCCCCTTTATTTAAACAGGATAACAACTTGAGTTAAACCGCGGAAAATAAGGACCTTGCTGCGATGAAAAATCCCACCACGAAAAAGAGAGCAAATCCCACAAAAAGAGAGAAAGTCACAGCAACAGCTTTAATTTCCATCAACTGTTACGTTCGCTGTTGCATGGTTGTTGGTTGTATTTTTATACCCTATAAGAATATAAGAGGTTTTATGTACATACATATATATATATTCATCACATACCTCATCGGCTTTGACCGGGTAAGTTTTCCTTGTTTCCCCATATTCATCTTTTCCATTGACTGATTTTTCTTGGTACTTCTTCTTTTTTTTTTGTATCCCCTCTAGCTCCATTGGCCGAGACCCTATCTGGCTACAAGCTACTATTCTACGATCTCCTCCTCCATTTACTTTATTTAACTCTTCCTTTACTTTTAGCAGGTCGCGGGTGATTCCGCCGTAGCTCCTCGTCCTCTCGGGAAGTCGAAAGGGTGAGCTTTCTAAAATATATCTTTCTTTACATAGAACTTATGTAAACTACGCTTTGCCTCTATCGGGGAAACTATCCCTATGACAAAAAGGGCGAGGCACGCCAAAATAGGTTTACAAATAGCGGAGAAAACTAAATATTTGTGATTGGGGAAAATGTCCTTGATCCTTCATAAGGACTCCATTAAATCAGGGACGTTTTTTCGACCACAGGAAGCCGTCGCACGCCACGATCGGCCCGCAAATAGCCAAGAGAACTCAATATGTATGGTTCGGGTTGTTATAGTCCTTACCGAAGGATCAAGGAGATTTTTCTGATCGCGGCGGGCCATGGCAAGAGCCGATCGGGCCACAAGTAAGGGAGAAAAAAAAGATATTTATGTCTGGAAACGTCCTTGTTGCTTCGTCCTTCATAAGGACTGCATTAGATCAAAGACATTTTTTCAACTATACTATTATATATTTTGTACATATGTACATATGTACTTATGTACGTATATCACAGTCCAAAAATGGCAGCAACCGTAACATCTTTGTATATGTATGTACATGCAGAATGTGATAACGTACTGTGGAAAAAATATTGTAAGAACATATTGTTTGTTATGATGACGCGGCGGCCGGCCAGAGCCGAAGACCCTGGGATCTAATCCAGAAAGTTCCTTTGCGACATGTTCGGTGTATGAACATGTACATCTATAACATAGATTAATGGTTAGTGGTTCCATCAACTGTTAAGTGCGCTCAAAGTTCGAAAATTCGAACTGTTCAGCGAGCTAGTTCGAAAATTCAAGCTTTCACGTGTGAAAATGAGCTCGAAAATTTGAGCTTTCGTTAAAATGTTAAGCCATCGAAATTCAAGTTCATAGCATACTTAGGAGCTTAAATGAAATGCATTCAAATGAATTGGAGGGAATTTTTAATTTTAAAACATTAGAAACATAGCATGTTATTTTCTTCCTGAAAGTATAGATTTATCCATAGGAACTAACTAACTAAGGCCATAACAAAGTGGCATATTATTTAATAAAATCGATCACGAAACTCATATCGCGTAGCTGGCGCGCCTAATTTGAATTTGAACACCTGAATGGCATTGTATGCTATGCTATGGCATGCTTAACTTGTGCACTGTAGATCCGGTTCCTTAGACATTTTCAGCAAATATATCCATTTGTCCGCTCATCCGCCTAGACTTGCTATCTATTTTTGGCGTGCTTAGTATCTTTCGAGGCACGCGAAAAACTCTTTTGGCCATAAACAACTTAATCAAAATGCATAAATCATCACTGATACAAGATACAAACACAAAGACGCTGCCGCATAGCATTCGATTCCCCTGCGGCTTTGTGTTTTTGTCATATTTTCCACTTATCAACAACTTCATAGACCGGTGCGGGTCGTAACACGGAGACTGGACGATGCTACGACATTATACAATTACCTGGGACAAAATCCAAAAAAACACATGCGAATTAAATTGTAAAACGAACGTGAAGCCAGCAGCAGAGGCGAAAGCGAAACAGCTGGAGATGAAGATGCAGCTAAAGTCGAGCTTGAGGCTGGGTCTGGGTCCAAGCTCGAGTCCAGCTCCGATTCCTAGTTGCAGGCTGTGACTGTGACTGTGCCTGTGCCTGGGTCTGGGTCTGGCTCCGAAGATGCCTTTGTGTCCATGTCCACTCTCATAATCAGCAGATGTTTGCCGCCATGAAATTGGAAAGGAGGAAACAGTTGGCTGCCCGATGGAATGGCCAACTGGTTATAGATGTGACCACTTCAATTTCTCTTCTCCTTTCCTCATCCCCATCTCCATCCCCATTCCAATTCCCATTCCAAACCCTGGATTAAGAAATGCCTGGATAGATTTATATTTTTTGTTTTTTGTGTATTTTTTTTGTGGTAATTTTTCGCGGTTTTTATACTTTTTAGGTATTTTTGATTGTTTTTATTGAAATTCCTTAGATCGCAAGAAGCGCACAGAAGTAATATGTATGGTAATTGTTGTATATATATGTAGATATAGATACATTATTATTATCATTTATATATTTAATGTAATATGTAAGTAATATATGTATATATATATATATTGTGTTGTGTTGTGTTGTGTATGTATGTGTGGTGTGGTGTGGTGTGTTGTGGTGTGGTGTTTGTGTGAGTGTCTGGGGTGTGTGTGCTGGTTGGTACAATAATTAGATATACGTAATTAAGTATATATTATATACAAATCTCAATGGATTGTTGATTGATTTGCTTGAATTTACAATTATATCTGGTCTCTGTATCTGGATCTTTATCTGTATTGTAGATGTAAATGTATAAATTTAAGATTACGCGCTAGAGATATTTCAAAAATGTCCACTTCTCTACAGGCTTATCCAACTAACATATATCTAAGTAATATATATGTATATGTGTATATATGTATCTATATATTGTATGGTATTGTATTGTATTGTATTGTATTTTATTGTATTGTATGGTATTGTATGTAAAGACAAAATCCGCCTAGCCCAGGCAGCATTAGCTATGGGATCCAAATAAACAAAACAATAAAATAATAAACCCTTTTCTTTTGCAGCCGAGTCGACAAATTAGTCATAATTTCCATGTTGCATTTTCTTGTTGTTGTTTTTTTTTTGTGGATTTTCTCGTTTGTTTTTTGGTTTAGTTTAGGTTTTGCTGTCAGTTTCAGTTTAAGTTTTTCTTGCTTTAAAGTTTGCACTAAGTAAAATGTCTTGCAGGCTGTCCTGTTCGCCGGCAAGGAAGGCGGCGTTCATTCCATGCCCCCTTCGAGGCAGCTCGAACAGCAAGCAAATTGGAATACGTTGGCTTGGGGCCTTGTCGAATATGCATATAGATAATCTGGATATATACACATACATACATACATACAGCGTACATCGCACATTGCATACATATGTCACGAATGTGTCTAAACTAAAGTTAATACATAAATTCAAAACACAAGTTCAGGGTTAACATTATACAAAAGTGCGTAAGTGGTAACAATTCTCAGAGTTCTCGAAGAATGCACACAGAGAGGAAACATCGTAATCGTCATCGAATCGTCGAATCATGAAATCATCAAATCATCGAATCATCGAGCATTGTTGTCTTGTCTTTCATTTGTTGTGGATATAAATATACACAAATATATAGATAAATATATGCTTGCTTCTACATATTTTAGTCATTTGATTTATGTTGTTTGCAATTGCAAAACAAAACTCACACATAGAGCAGAAAGTTTGTTGTTTTTTGTTGATTTTTTTTTGTTTGTAGCTTTCAAAAGTTATAAATAGTTGCTTTTCGACAGCATATTTTGATTTATTTTATATATGTATGTATATCAGTTAATCATTCATAAATTATCACCCATCTGAAATTAACTGCTTCTCTCATAGCATGCTGCTTCAATCCATCCATCCATCCATCCATCCGTTCATCCATCCATCAATCAATCAATCACTCACTCACAAATGTTGCTGCTGCCTGACACGCACTGATAAAAAAAAACACTACAAAATATGACATTAAATTCTTCCAGACATTCCATTCCAAATTTCTCATTCTTATCCGTTTAGAGATTTTTCGTTTTGTTGATTTACGTTACGTTTGATTTTTGATTACAATATTGGTTATTGATTAATTTTTTGTTTTGTTTTTGTGAATTGAATTTCGTTGAGCAACTTCTTCTGATGCTGATGAGCATCCCTCAGATAAATACATCATCTCCTCCGCCTCATCCTCCTATATATCTCAACCCAGTCATCATTATCATTCTCTCCTCCTCTTCCGACATCGACAGTTCAATTTGACTAATATTTACATATTATCTCATCACTTGTTTCATCATATCATATCATATCATCGTTGTTTTGCCTGCACTTGGACTTTTGCTTGGAATTTCTACTGGACTGGAACCGACGACACTCCTCCTGTACTCCCGTGCTCCCGTGCTCCCGTACTCCTGCACTTGCCATCCAAAAAGTCATTCAATTTAATCGTACATTTATGAGGCTATATATATATCGTATGTAACTAAGTATTTTTCTACTCAAAAATTATGGGCGTGTGGGGGAGGTAGGGCGTACTTAAAAATTCCAAGTTAAATTCAAATTCTGGGGTTTCTATTGTTTTATTACACAAAAAAAATAGGAAAGGAAAGAGAAAGACAAAATTGATGAAAGGAAAAATCAAATCAGAAAAACAGGAACGAAATTTAGGTATATCCCAACAGAATTTTTTTGTTTTTTTCGATATTACATGAGTTTTGGTTTCTTTACAACGAAACATCCTAGAAGTCTGTGTGTGTGTGTGTGGGTGTGGGTGTGAGCAGAGAACCCTGTTTTATAGTTTATAATTTAAGAATTTTTCTTTGAGTTTTTCAGCCCGTTTTCTTTTGGTTTTTTTTTTAATTTTTTTTTGTTTGTTGGCCCTGATCAACATCTAACAGCGGCTGGACTTCAGTCTGGAAAATAGAGCTTTCTTTTTGTTGAGTTTTGAGGGTGGATGTGTCGTGGAAAGTGTACAGTAGCTCGACACACCGAATTGTAGAATGGAACAGTGGGTCGTCGTACAGATAGGGGCACAGAGAGGAAGGTATGTGTGATTCGTTAGCAATCGGAAATACCGCTTAAACAAAATGCTGCTGTAGATCCTTCCCCTAGTCCTGGTTCTCGGTTACATTGAGATAGGAGTTCTCGCCCAGCAGCAGCATACTGGGCGGCGATCCATCATGGGGATAGAAGAAGGCAAACTGTCCGCTGTAGGTGCCCGCCTTGCTGCAATCCTCCCGGCTGTAGACGGGTACACCTTCAATCTGCTTCGGGGTGACCACCAGGCTGCCAGTGATTCCACCTTCTCCTCCCGCGTCTGCTGCGTCTGCTGCGTCTGCTGCGTCTGCTCCTGCTGCTGTACCCTCCGGATCGTTGAGGCTTTTCTCAATACCTGTCATGGTTGTGGTCGGGCTTCCATCTTTATCTATAGTGGCGTTGTTCCCCTTATTGCTGTTGATCGGGACTTGGATTTGAATGCGAGGTGGGGCTGGGGCTGGGGACGATGAAGATGTGGGTGGTGGTGGGGGTTGTGGAGTTAGTTCAGTTTCAGCCAAGAGCCTTATGGTTGTTGTTGTTGTTGTTGTCGATGATCCCAACGCATTCTCCGGCCAATGATGCTTTTGTTGCTGTTGCTGCTTCTGGTGCTGTTGCTGCCTATGATGCTGATGCTGATGCTGATGCTGGCGTTGTTGGATGTGCTGCTGCTGCCCCAATCACGTGCTCAGCCAGGTGGAGTTGCACGTGCAAATGGTGCTGGGAATCACAGGTGCATAGTAGACGCCGTTGGCATAGATGAGCCCCGGCGCCTGTATCTGGATGGTCTGTGGGCCCGCTGCCGCGGACTGATCGCTGCTGCTTGTGCAGCAGACCGTGGGCGGGGCCGCCTGCTGCACGTAGATGGTCTGTCCCTGTGCCGACTGCGGCGACTGCGAGACCAGGGTGAGCGTTGTGCCCTGCTGCGCCGCCGCCTGAGCTTGTGTCTGCTGCTGCTGTTGCTGCTGCTGCTGCTGTTGCTGCGCAGAGTCCAGGAACTGTTGCTGTCGCTGCTGGTGCTGATGGTACTGCTCCTGGGCCTGCTGTTGTTGCTTCTCCTGCTTGTTGTAGAGGACCTGGGCGGCCAGCGACTGGATGAGGTGCAGCGTCTGTCGCCGCTCGTGGCTCATCAGGCAGACCGTCGACATCTCGACCACCTCGCGTAAATGCATCAGGTACTGATACTGGAGGGGCTCCTCGTCGACGCCCCAGAAGTGGTTGCGCAAGTAGGCCTCCAGCTTTGTGGTCTGCGTGTTGATGTCCGGGAAATCGATGAAGAAGCGCGAGCACATGTACCGCTCCAGTGTCTTGATCAGCTGCGAGTCGACGGCCTTGTAGTTGCGCACCAGGAGGTTGCAGTACTTGAGCAGGCCGCCGCCGCGGATCTCCTCTGGCTGGCGCGTTGAGATCAGTTTCTTCTGCAAGTGGTAGAGCGCCTCCTGGAAGTCCCCGTACACGGACTCGCCCACCACCGTCGGGTAGAAGTTCTCGGAGATGGGTAGGGCGGCACAGTCGTAGAACAGGAGCAGCGAGTCGAGCACGATCTGGAACGAGTCCACGGAGAACTCGAACTGGCGCCGCATCGAGTCGACGAACTTCAGCTCCACGTTCTTGTGGCCCGGCGAGTTGCCCAGCGAGATGAGGGACCAGCGGTCGCCGTCATTGTTGTTGTTAACCTTGACCATCTTGCCCACATAGGCCTCCTTGAGGGAGCACGTGTAGATGCGACGCTTGCAGACGCCCTCGGGCATCAGGTCGAGCAGAGTGTTGAGCACGGCCACCTTGACGCGGTCGAAGACGCGCGGCGTACTCAGCTCGATGGCGAATATCAGGTCCAGGTCATTGTATGGCTGATCCTCGCTGGCTAAAACATGACTAGCTGCCCCACCGTTCAGGCGGATGTCCTTAACTAAGACCCCGGCCCCGCCGGCGTTCACCTCCGCCTCCAGCTTGCGGCGCACCAGGTTGACCAGGTCCTTGAGCGTCACCTCCAGTGTGGGGAAGTTGCCGCGTCCATGTATGGCCACCTTCTCGTCCATCACGTCGTGCAGCTTGCTCACCTGCTCGAACGAGAGGACAGCCAGGCGCTGTGTTCCCCCGGTGTCCACGCTCTCCAGCGATCCGTGGTCCGAGGTCGAGGCTATCGAGGAGCCCGAGCTGGGCGACGGCGGCGGTGTCTCGGTGCCGCCGTCTGAGTGGAATCCATCGTCGATCTGGTAGACGTCCATTCTGTTGCTGCGCTGCTGATGATATACCTGTTCGGCTCCGTCTAGTGTCCCGCACTGCAACGAAAGTAAACGAAACGCACAACGAATGTCAATTACAGATCAAAAACGATAACAGAGCAAATATCTTGAATACAAATACACGAAATATTACATCGATTCTTGATTATCGATTCTATACACTATATTTTCTATATTTGGTTGTCGGTTGTCGCCTCAAACTCAAAGCCAGTTAGGGTCTCGTCTCTATTCTTTTGCTTTTTTTTAAATTTTGTGTTGCTAAAATATTTCCAGAAAATGCCTTGAAAAAGTTGAGAAATTCACACTACGGTCATCTGAGTGTGTTCCAAAAGCTTTCTAGAGTTCTCCCAAAACCAAAGAATCTTTCGATTCGTTCCTGTGAATTCCTTTGAAAAGCCGCCTTTGGGACTCAAATCTTTCCAGAAAACCTTGAATGGAATCGATCATTTCTTGGTTGTTTTCCCTCTCTGTCCCTCTTTGTAGCGAAAAGCTTCTGGCGATAAGCTTTCGCCTATGAACACTACCGTTGCTCAGAGGAAGGTTCTCGTTCTCCCCATACACATACATACGCATACACACACACACATGCATCCCTATAAATGGTCTGCTTCTTTCAATATCATCATCATCACCATAATTTTTGTTGTTTTGTCACTGCTGTTTTATTAATTTATTTGTTGTTTTGTGCCATTAAATATATGTATGTACATATGTATGTATTATCTAGCCAATGCCAAATGTGATGTGCCGCCCGGGGGCTTCTTTTAATTAATTAATTTGCTTTAAATTTTGCTAAATTCGTTTTCAGTGTCTCCGTTCTCTCGGCTGCCCTCGTGTGTGCAAGTGTGTGTGTGTGTCGTCTGAGTGCAGCCTACGCGCTGCGCTAAACATTAAATTCTGTTCTATTTATTGCTTATTTTAATCGACAAAAACAACAGCAACAATCATTTTTGGCTCTACTCGGCTCGTATCGGTTCGGTTCGGCCAAAAGTTCCGCGTTGTTATCGTGGCAGAATATCGAAAAGGGAGAGGCAGGTGCGGGGGGCCAGGGGGGCCAGGGGAGCGAATTCCCCATTCCCCGATTACCCACTTCTCTAATTCTCGCCTTCTGTTTTTCGTGCTACTGCGTGTGTTTGTGTGTGTGTGTGGTGTGGGGCTATTATATCGTTTAGCTCTATCTCTTGTATAAGTTTTATCTGCTTTAGGTTTTTTCTCTTTCTTTTTTATCATTTTGTTTGTGCCGTTCACTGTAAAAATTTAATTTTCTGGCATAACTGGCTGCCTAGCCGACCGCAGTGTATACTAAACACTCACACACACACATAGGAGCAGTGAGGGCGGGAGGTAGGAAGAGTGGCTAGGGGTTGAGGTTGAGGCAGGCAGGCGGCAATGAGGCACTTGGACCAGAGTGCCATAATACCATTCAAATACATAGATTCTTTGCGTCGTCCTATCGCATGATTCACAGTCTAAATAACTTAGTCAAACCCCGAGCAGACCCGGTGAGTGCGGAGTGGAGTGCGTCGTGGCGCGACCCGGCCGGACGATTTGCACAAATCGCATGCAAATTTATTTGAAAAAAGCTTTTTGTATAACAAAATATCATTCACAGGCAAACGGAGAGAACAGCAGCAAAGCTCAGACTAAGACTGCGACTGCGACTATGGGTGCATTAATTTGTGCTTAGTTTTCGTGTGAATTTCGTATTATAACCAACTAAAATTGTCTTTCTGTGTCCGGGTTCGGTTCAGTATGGTGTGGTGTGGTGTGCTGTGGTGTGGTTGGGGGGTTTCGTTCTGCTTGCTTTGCATCTCCGTATGAGAACTGCCGCGTGGCTGGGTTCACATTCGGGGCACCCGCCGATGGGTTGAGTTGAGAGCATTATTATTCACTCAGTTCCAGTTAGCTCTGGGCTGGAGATGCTTTCGTATTTGTTTTTATTATACGGGGTATATTGGCAGAGAACAAGGGTATGTTCTATGAACAGACATACAGCAGAAGGAAGAGTCTTAGCACTAGGAAACACATCCGAGCAGTGGGTATCCGCTAGTCGAAATACTAATCTTTGCTTTGGTTTTTGTACTTTTCTTTGCCAATTATTTATTTATTAATTGCCATTGACGTCGTCGCTACAATAAACTAACACAAATTGCGCCTGTCGTGTATTTATTGTAATTGTTTACTGCATTTTCATGAGGCAATCCGCAAAAGGCTTGCAAGGAATTTGCCCTTGAAGAGGTTTTTAGTGCATTTGTCCCTAGAAAAGCGTCCCCTACCTTTGGGTATACTTTCTCTTTGATCTGATAATTCGCTTGAAATTTAGTTAACATACTTTTCGCACAATAAATTCTTTAAACAAACTTCGGAAATGGTGGTTTATTGCTTTGCTAATCACTTTCTTAAGCGATGTTTTTTCTGTAATCGGTAAGACTATCCAATCGTTTGAGTAGAGATAAATACAAGTCACAGGAATAGGAATCATTTTCACCAATTTCTAGCTGCGTTCGTCATTATCATAACTGTATTTCAGTTGGCCACAAACCTCAACAGCAACATGCAAACAGGTGCAACACGTACACACAAACATACATACATACATACATACATATGTACATATGCACACGTGTTTGTATCTGTGCAGACTGGTAGCTGCTGTATGTCTAGTTGGCTTAGACGATGGGGACTGGTCTCAAATAAAAGTGAAAATCGTTGCTTTTTCTTCCATTTCTCTCTCTATCTCTATCTGTATCTCTATTTCTGTCCCCTCCTCCCTCGAGTGTTTGTGTGGCTTGTTTTACGTTTCTACGTACCGACAGTGCAGAAAAATGTAACGCAAAAACGAATTTGGATTCCGTGTGGATTTTGTTTTAGCACAGTAGCGGCATCGGCATCGGCCTAACCATTGGGGAGGAGAGGCGCTTAGCGGCCGGGGGAGCAAACGGGTGCCCGATTGGCGCCTACGAAACGCAACTACGTCTTCTCCTCGGAGTAACGGTATCTGTGTACCCGTACGTACAACGTATGGATGGGATGGCAGCAGGCCGCCGCTGGTTCGGTTCGGTCTGTCTCGACTTTGGATGTAAATTTCGTTTCGCAAATCGTTTATGTATTTCGGAATCACAATTGGAAATAGTGGTACTACGGTTCACTTCTTCACTTCACTTTTGGCACACAGAGACTTTTTATTTCATTCGAATATTTAACTTTTTGGCATCTCTTTCTCTCTGCTCGCACGTACATGTATGTATGTACATATATGGTATATCTCTTTTTAATATATTTCTTGATTCAGGCACCGCACAGCCGAGAGCCGTCCGTTGGGTTGCGCGTTTGGATTGGAAATAAAATAAAAATAAAAATAGAAATAAAAAATAAAATGAATTGAATCGACGACTCTGCTCTGCCTCTGCTCTGGCTCTCTGTCGCTGTCGCTGCCGCTGCCGCTGCTGAGAATATTCGCGAGTGAGTGATTTGGTTCGGTTCGGTTCGGTTGGTGTTCGGCCACTCTCGCTCCGCACAACGAAATAATAAAAGCTTTTCTGACGTCACAGTGGAGCAGCTGCTCTTGAGTGAGTTTCGAGCTTGGGGCTTTTTTAGAAGGGCACATAAAACACAAGCAAACACACACACACACACACACCACGATCTGTTGGGTTAGTCGGTCGATGTCGATCGAACTGGTCTCTCCCTCTCTCTCTCTCTCTCTCTCTCTTTATCCACTTCTTCGTGCTTGCAATGCAATGCAATGCGGGTGCTGCTCTGCTCGGTCTCAGCTGATAAAGCGATCAAACGGGTCGGTCTCCTCTCCGTCTCTCACTCTTTCTGTGTGCGTGTGCGTGCGTGTGCCTAGAAGAGTGTGTGCATGTGTTAGGGTAAGCTGCATTTATGCCATTTTTGTATTGCATTTTTGCAAGCCGTCCGTTTTCGATTTCATTATTTTGTATGCACCTCGCACTCGCACTCGCACCTCACTTCTGGCGGCTGTGTTTATGCACTGCCAGAAAAAAGGTACGTTTTGTGTCCGTCTATGGGGGAATTTCTATTTCTTTCTATTTATAGGGTCTGGTTTTTCTCATTTATTTGTTCGCTTCTTTTGCTGCTATTTTCTTCGACACTAATTACAAATTCCCATTTGTCACAGAAATTCAGACGGGAACGACAAAAAGCAAAAACACCAAAATAAAATAAAACCTAAAACCGAAACATTTTCTGATAAGAGTGGAAGAAATATGTACATATTTTTCGAAGGAGGGCTGCTGATAAGAGCTGTACTTTCCCCCCCCCTCTCTCTCTTTCCCTCTATTGTTCCCCTTAGATGACGATGTTAATTAGGAGAAGCCGCGGCACAAAGCGACACAACAAAAGCCAAAAATAAACACAAATTATGTAAATAATTATCGGTAGCAACAATAATCTCTGCCTCTACATTGTATACACTGTTATACTACATACCGTATGTGTTATACTTGTTTCGACCGCTTCGAATGGGATGCCGAATCCGTTGGCCTTTATATTCGGAACCCCCAGAACAATATCAACAATAACATTAATGAGAGATGAACAAGAATGCGATGCCATAATAATCGGAGAGAGACAGCGACAGAGACAGCGACAGCAGCCGTACAGACACATGATTATTATAATTTAGCTTCATTAGCTTTACCTTTATTTCGGCGCACAGCAGAATAACGGTTCAATGTTATAATTTAGCCGAAAATCGAACGAAACATTTTGCAAGATTTGATTTTAGCTTGGCGCTGTTTTGATTGCTTGATTAATGTTTATTTGCTCATGATGGATGCCCGAAAAGAAACCCAGCAGCAGCGGCAGCAGCAGCGGCAGCAGCAGCGGCATTGAGGCAAGAGCGTTAATGTATCTTGCAGATACTCGCACTCGTGCACTGCATTACTACGAGTGGCAGCGGCGCAGCACCACACGAGAAATAGAATACAAGACGGCGCTGGAGGTGCGGCCGATCGGTGTATGGCTCTGAGGCTCTGAGGTCGAAGTCGGGCCAAGCTTGTTGCCATTACTAC